TGGACCTTATCCTACTTTGCTATGCTGTTCTCTCTTCAGATCTGTCAGACCAGACTTTTTCTATCTTCTTTTTAGTACTGCCTTTCTTTATATTTCTTTCTTCAAAACTATAAACAATTACTAAATACTGTGATTATTCTATGGGACAGTGGCTAAGCAACTTGGTTAAGTATATACAGTTCACCTGATGATTGTAAGTTCAATCCCTGGGACAAGCATAAGCCATATCACAAGGGCACATTAATATAGGACCCTCCACAAAAACATGATGCCTAATGATTAAAAGGAATTTTTAATAATGAAAAATCTTTCTTGAAGCTTTTATTTTACTTTTAATTTCAAGCTGAGAGATTAAATTTAATATTTCCAATAATCAATATACTACACTGTATTTCAAAACTAATTTAAATTGATTGGAAAGATTTTTTGTATTGAAAATTCTAAATTTTTTTGATTTAGCACCATTTTTAGCAAACTTTTATAACACTTCCATTACAGCTCAATGACAGATTGTTATTTAATCATACTTATTATAAAACCCAGGTTGTGTGTGTGTGTGTGTCTGTACATTTATATATTGGATCGGATTTCCTACATTTTTCAACCGATTTCAACAAAACTTCACAGGACTATGTAAAATTACCTTGCGGTGGTTCTGACAGCACCAAAAATTGGAAAAACGCAATTGTTTTTGCACAAAATCAATTTGAAAACACGATTAAGAGGCATCGCGAGAATGAAAGGGGGACAACTCATATAGAGTTATACTTATTATAAAACCCAGGTTGTTTGTGTGTGTGTTCATTTATATATGGGATCGGATTTCCTACATTTTTCAACCGATTTCAACAAAACTTCACTTTTTTTTTTTTGACAGGTAGTGTTTCTTATTGTCTTGCACACTTTTTTTCTTTATTTTTACATTCAGAATGCTTTAAAAATTCCATTTACAAGACAATTCTTTAAAAAAAAATTTTCAATCGGTAGACTCATAACAATTGAAAACAATGTTTTTGTTTGAGTTTGGGTTTGACCAATTCATAAAAAAAAAAAACAAAACAAAAAAAAACTAATTTAGACATGCGTGTCCGTCAACCTTAAACAATAATCTTTGTCAATTTTATTTTTCAGTCTTTATGATGGTCGATACTTGATCTATCTCTTACTGTTACATCCCAGGGCAACACGGGGCTCTACTGCTAGTGTTTTCTAGAAGGGGCTTTAACCTTTAAAAAAAAATTGAGGAATATAACACAAACACCTTTAAAGTACATGATAATCTTAAAAATTTAAGAAAATAATCTAATGTTTTATTGAATTTTAGAGAATTTTGGCTCTAAATTTACTACAATTGTCATTCTTATTTTCTGTTAATATAGGCGACGTATCTATAAAATTCTGCACGTTTTTACACATACAAAAACAATTCAAAATTCTTTTTAAAATATTTGGCAATGTTAGATTGTAATAAGCTTTATGATGTATGATTAGTAAATATAGTTTTACTATAATTTCCTAAAAGTTACACCACTGAAGTTGAATCTTAAGATTTAAAAATATTACAAATTATTCTAATTAAAATTTGAAAAAAAAAAAAATGAAAACAAATCTTGTAAAAATTCATTTTTCATCGAAAAAATTGTTTTCTTAAGACAATATTGTCCTTGATGTATATCATTCATAAAAGCAATTAAGAGCTTCTCTAATTAAATAATATCTTTAGTTTTATTGCATTTTTTACTTTTTGATGCAGAACAGATTTTCAGTAAGATGGGGTTCATTTTTGCAAAAGAAAAATCAGTGATTTAAATTCCCCAAAAGAATTCTGCTTTTAACTAATATAGTCATTAAAAATTATCACATTGAATTTCTCAAATTTTCATAAAATTAAGTAAGGGGTGAAACACATGTTATATATATATATATATATATATATATATATATATATATATATATATATGTGTGTGTGTGTGTATTTAGATAGCAAATTCTCTTTTAGATAGGTCTGATTGAATAAATTACAGACATTATGTCGGCTAATTTTGAATAAAATCCGTTTGTACTCATGAATAACCTTCCGTGTATTGATGTTAAAGGATGAAAGAAATGTGCTATAACTGTTTAAATTTCTTTTATTTTCATTTCCCAAGTATTTTCGATCTTTTTCCAAGATCATCTTCAGAGGTGCAAGTGGTACAAAACTATATGTTGTTTATTAGTATGAACAAATAACACAAAAAATAGTACTAAAAGCAATACCAGGGTTTTAAGTGCAGGAAATGGGGTGTAGGTATGAATCAATAATAGAAAAAAAATGAGAAAATTGAAGTATACTTAAAATTTCATATCTATATATATATATATATCTATATATATATATATATATATATATATATATATATATATATATATATATATATATGCTAAAGATTTTTAATAAAAAATAATTTCTAAAATTTTTTCATTCCTTTGTGAATATGTCTTGAAAATTTTGTTAAATCCAACAATTATTTGATTTTTGTAAGAATTTCCAAATTAATGTGTCTGTCACTGCAAAAAAGATGCTAAATTTTGCTATGCTAAAATTAGTACATCCATTGAGGCAAGAAAAACAAAATTTTTAATTAAAATTTTGAATGTTCTTCAAAGGAGCAAAAAATTTCATTAAACATTCCAAAAATACTTCCTAATAATAACAAAGATTTTGATGATAAAACTGTTTTCTTTACATTTGGAGTATGTTCTCCTCATTGTATGCTGTTTTTTTTTGTGATTTTGTGGAGGTAGCTACATTAATAGGAGCTGTTTTTTTTTAGCGTAGGTAATGGATAGTGGCTCAGAATGAGAAATTGGAGAGCTAAATTTAGACTTCCAATTCTGTTCATTACATTCACTTATGCACCAATACTGTTAGGAAAGGTACGAATCTACCTTGTCCCACCCAGCTATGGGTTAGTAGGACTTGTATCTTGAAAAATCATTGTTATTCTCAAAAAACTGTTAATGCAATATTCATTCAAAAAAAGAATGAATTGTTCTTGCAATCCAAAAAATGTTTCAGCTTTAAATAACCAACAAAGGGTTGATAAACCATCAAAAACAAATTAGTCAATTAGCATGGATAGCAAACTGTGAAATATTAACTTGAGTAAATTAAATAAATTCAGTTAAAAATTTCTGGAAGGTTAGCAAATATAGTAGACAGTAGTAGAAGACTGGAGAGTAAAACTGCCAATAGCATTATGACTTTAAAAAAAAAAAAAACAGATAAGGAGACCAGCTTAAATAAATCAGTATACAATTCAGAATAAATAAAAAAAAATTGGTGTGGAATCAAGATTAGCAAGCAAGACATGCAGTTAGTAATAAACAGCTGTTTGAGGTTTCCTATAGCCCCGCTGAACTTAAATAAAGTCAATTTAGGGTTGCTATAGTAAAAATTTTCTATCCCAAGTAAAAATCATCACAAAAATGGCAAGTCATTTTGTCACAGCTTATTTTCTCAGAAAAAATGGATTTTCATACTTTTATAGGGGGTAAAATATTGAAAAATGACTGTTTTATCATCACCTAAACAAATATCAAGGAAACTTTTGATCTGAACCCCATGAAACTAGGTATTTTCTGAAAGCAAAGGATATATTCTTTCATTTAAAAGTAAAATTGACTGGTGTAAATGACTAAAAATTATTTTTCAGGGGCTAAAATGTGAAAAAAATAGTGAAAATTTTGCATTTTTTCTAGTTCTAAACAAAAATTTTTCCTATTAATGGGAAATTAACCATTGTCTTTGGAAAATCAGAAAGCCTAAATCATAATCAAACTATATCAGGCATAAAACTGAGAGTTTTTAAGGAAATCAACATTCCTAGGGGGTCAAAATGTGACAAAATCCATTGGTAATTTTCAATTATATAACTGCTAGGGGTTAAAAGATTTATCTGCAATTCTTGACCACCAGAAACCAAAAGTTTGGTTTTTTTTTTTTTTTTTTTCCCAAAAATAGCAGCGATAAGGAAAATTAAACCAAATTGACATCTCTGGGTCAAAGGTCAGCCAGCCAGCAATAAACGTTTAGAACAAGTTGTAATAAAACCCACCACTCCCAGATAAGAGCAAAGTGTGAAAAAAAGGGTCAACATTAGTAGGGCTTGATATAACCTATGTTTGAACAATGGCTTGATGTGTTTTGTTTTTAACACCCCGTGACCCATGTGATGACAACAACACTTAGTAGACGACATTGTTTTTTTTGCCACATATCTTTCATATTTCCCATTGCTGGGCCATTTAGCCATTCCTTTTATTCAATGATGTTCACGCCAAATTAAAGAGAAAGTGATGAAGTTTGAATGATATTATTTTGAAGCAAAAATAAATATTTTTTCATAAAAAAACGGTGATTTTTCTCAGAAAATTGGGCATAATTTCTTAATGCTAACTGCCGAGTGACATTTTCAACAGCCAAATCGAAGATTAATTACCAGTGAATAATTCCATGTGCAAACAATAGCTGTCTGGATCTTATAACGTCGCCCGAAAATATCCAGATGTTTACTGATTGATCGAAAACTTTTGCGCATAATTGTGTTTTTCACAGTCAGTTTCCATTATTTCATCTTGATGTTGTCATTTTCAGACAGCCAAATCATCAAGGATTCAGGAAAACATTTTGGCATAGGTTTGCTTTAAGAACTTTACATTCTATGAGGTGTTTAAAATGTTACTAACGAATGAGATTTTTCGCCGAATATTTCGTTTACGCACCATATTGGATTTTCCTATATGACAAAAACAAGACTTTTAAACAGCCATGAATAATAATAATAATACTGTAGTGAATTAAATCCTGAGTGCATCATATATATGGTGTGTGCCAGATTAGACTAACCTTAATAAATGTTAGAAAAACCTTGTTTCCTCTATTGTATAAAGACTATTTCTATAACAAGGCGATGTACTCCATTCATTTTCATGTAAAATCTTTTTTTCTTTTAAAGATCAAAATTGGCTTCTTTGTTTGGAATGGACACAACACATAACAAGGGAGGCAATGAATCCCTTACCTATACAGCTCCCAAGCAACCAAAGAAAGGTAAGCAAAAGTATCTAAAAGTTTACAATTTCAGTATTCTCTCTCTCCTTCATGTGCATTTGTGGTTACATCAGTGTAAATATTGATTTTGTCTAATGAAGTCTTAAGGTATGAAATCCTTCTCATCGTAGATTCCTCAAAAATATATCTACTCAGTTTCGTATTTAAGTGTAAACAAAGTAATTTTCTAAAGAAGTCATGGATGTTTTTATTTATTAATCCAACAGATTTTTATGACTTTAAACATTAATTTTAGTGGTTACTCTTATTTGAGTAGATTGGTTGATATTTTTTTTTTTTTTTTTTTTTTTTTTTTCAGCAGCATACCAACACCTCTATGGGTTATGCCAAAATCTAAATATTTTGAATACAATTGTATGCCTTCAAGTACAGATAAAATATATTGTTGGTTATTTTATATATATATATATATATATATATATATATATATATATATTGCTGGTATTCTTATTATAAAAATGTATTTTTATATTTTCATAATTTTTTGTTTTTGGAGGGGGGGGTCACTATTTATCCATAGTTGGGACCCTAACAACTACTCCAAGTCAGGGTGGACCTAAAATGTGGTTTCATGCTCCTCAAAACCTCAAGTTTCTTTGATCAGTAGTTTTGCTGCTGGATGTAGTTTATCATCATATCCAGGACTATTATTTGAGTAAAGGCACGTTAGGATATATATATATATATATATATATATATATATAATGCCTATGTTTATGATTTTGTTTAATACAAATTGACACTCTCTGCTAACTTATTATTTACTATCATTTTACATTTCTAATGTGTTTATGATGCATTCATTTGAAATCCATTCTCATCCTAATTCTTATAATTAATCATTTGCCTCTCCTCCACTTGTGGGCTGCCAGTCACCTGATGACAATGTGTTTTTTTTTTTCTTCTTTTTTTTCTTTTTCCTTGTAACCTAATTTTGCTTTATCGTTCTCATGAGACCTAACCTCATATCAGTGTGTTTACTTAATGATATTTCTCTCTCTTTCCTCTTGATATTACAAATTCACTTCCATATTCAGCCTATAGATTGACCCAAGTATTGATCATATACATATTTTCTCAGCTTAGCACACCAACACTTTAAAACTGAATTCTTATAAATTAGTAACATGTACAAAACCAATTTTTAACTATTTTATTAACTGTAAAATCTGTGTATGTTTTATAAAAGTTTAGACCATGGGTCCACAGCAAAATGCAAAGTGGCCTTAAAAAAACAAGCCACATCCACAGCAATTTTTACAGTAAAAATTTTTTATTTTATTTTATTTTTAAATTAAGAACAAAAAATGTTACATTTTTCTTAATAAAATGGTTGTGGGGGTTTTTCAAGAAAAAATTTGACTAGAGCCTTATGCAGATATATTTTCAAAGAAAAGAGGTAGATGAAAGGCATTTTAACAAATGTTACAAGTTTATTTCAATCTTGCTCCATTTATGTCTACCGGAAATTAAATGAACCTCATATGTATAAACAGACACACATTGCATAATAATACATTTTGTTTTAAAATAGCAATACTTAAATAGACTGGTCCTCTCAAAAAGGAATGAAAACTACATGTATATCAAAAAGTCAGGGATCAGTTTGATGTATTTATATTGTAAATATTTTTAAATATATTAATATATATATTAAATATATTATTTTATATCCCCTCATTTAAAATAATAAAAAAATTAATGTTTTCGATTCTGACAAATCGCCTGAGAAAGTTCTTCTGATTGCTTGGCAACAAAAATTATTCATAAAAATGTTTTCATCTATAAGAAATTTCTAATTAATATTCATGTCAGAAAGTAAAGGCCCATTTTGATTTTGACATTTACTGTACATATTTTTTTGTTTCAATAGTTTATGCTAAAAAGACTTTATATTTTTATACAGTAATACAAAAATCTAGTTCTTTCCACAGCATATTCTAAGATAATAATGTTTTAGTGTTTGATTTCTTTTTTGAAAATGTTCCAATGCAATGTATCATAGTTAATAATTCTAGTCAGTCATAATCTGTTATTTGTCAGTAAAATTATCTGATTTAGGAACTTTTTGTTTATTTTTATCAATTTTCTAAAAGATTTTTATGTTAATATTACTTTTTACAGAAAAAATTTGCAACAGTGCCCTTAGTCATTGCTGCAGTGCTCTCATTTTTAAGGTGTCCACCAAGGCAATTTTTGCTTGCCCGTAGGCTAACTTCAACTAGAATCAAGCTCTCCTAGCCACTGTCATCTTGTGTATGGTTTTTAAAATTTCCCTTTCTCTCTGCTGTGCAACGATAGCTTGTGGATAGAATCTCTGACTGATGCTAAATTGGTCAGGTTTCAATCCTGGGTTGAAACAATCGGATGTTTAGCCACACTGACGAGCTGTGATACAGTGAAACAGTCTGTCTATAGATTGCCTATATATATATATATATATATATAGTCTGGTTCATACTCCTCTCCAGTCTTTTGAAGAAGAGTAGAGGTTTATCTCTTGTTCCCTGTTTAGGGTCAGGTTTCTGATTCCTTCTAAAATCTACTTCTGTACTTTTAATGTTCTCGGCTAAACTCTAAAATTTTATTTACAATTTTTTTTTTCTTCTCTCTCCTCAATTGGAATAAATAGTTTCACACTCCTCCCTGGTCTTTTGAACAGGAGTAGTGGTTTATCCCTTGTCTAACACTTTCACCGCAGCCCTTCAACCTACGACATCTTACTCTCTGGGTTGAGGTGTCTACTCGGTCCTAACCAAACTTAAGGGAATGGCCATAGGTCCCCTGAGCATCCGTAGATTATTCGACTGGTCCACTGGTTTAATCCTGCTTCCTGTCCACGTTGTGTTTGGTTTGATCCAGAAAGGAGAAGTGATGTTCATCCATTCACGGTCGACTGAAGATGTAGACATAGCTGGAGAGTCTGTGCTAAGAAATTTAGAATGCAGCAAAAAAAAAAAAAAAAAAATTAATATCTGCAGAAAGCCGGACAAACAACTATTCAATGATTGAATTGTTAATGTCTTTTATATAGCAGAAAAGAATAGTATAGAAAAGAAACGGGTTACAGAAAAGTAATTGACGTAAAAACGCATACACTGGATTCTGGACAGAGTGTGTTATGATTAACTTGTTGTTAAATTGTCTCAGAACGATATACAACTCTTGCAATGGGGGAATAAGATTTCTGTGCATGGCTTAAAGTTTATAGTGGCGTCCCTCCTTAGCAGTAGTAAGAGTAGTAGTAATATTCATGGTAGCAGAAGCAGTAGTACTTATATCAACAGTACATGTTAGCAGACGCTTTGTTCCAATCTCTGCGTCACATTCTCTCCTTCTCCTCGACTCTCCATTGTCTCTAGCCCAACTCTTGCCCGGGCTAATTCTCTTCTGTCTCTCTCTTCCGTCTCTCTCTTCCAGCATAACTATGCGTTTATATAGATAAACCCGGCTGGTTATGACTGACCCTTGGCCCTACTACTTCACACCACGATTATCACGGGGTTCTGGCTGTTTCAACCAAAATCATGTGAATTCCAAAGTTCCTTCTAGCTTACTCAGCTCTATTTCAATTTTTAATCGATAAGAATTATTTCGACCATTTCCATTGTCTTCTGATGACCCAGATTCAATGGGTACAACTTTTGCCCTAGATCAAATTTCTACATCCGTAAACAAAATGCTCTGATTTAATTTCCCTATTCAAATCTATTCCAATTTCACTAAAAAAAAAATATATATATATATATGCGTGTGTGTGTTTCCCAAACTCTCTCTGTCATGCTTGTTCCTTGTTTAGGATCGGGTTTCTGGTTCCTTTTAAAATCTTATTCTCTTTCACACCCAGTAGCCCCTTGCATTATCACCTTGCTTGGGACAAATTGATTAAATAAATATATACGTAACTATTATAATGGATACCCATAATTGAAATAGATGTGTCCCATTTATATATTTATTTTATGCAGTGTGTATTACATTTATCAGCTTGCAGCTTTCTCATTCAAGAAATCTTAATAAAAAAAAGTGTTCTTCAGCTTATATTAATCTTTCTTGAATGCAAATGAGCAGACTAATAGATGTGTAAAACAAAAATAAAAAAGTGAAGTCTATTTTAAATATGAAGTGTATATTATTAAAAACCTGTCAAAGAGTAGATCAATCCTTTCATGTGAACAGCCATCTAGTATAGGCATGGGGGTGTAGAAATACCTGAGTTGGTATCCAGGTGCATGGTAAGCTCACTGGGTGTGTTGAACCCCTTAGACTATATTAAGGTATCCAACCAGAAGGAAAACTCTAATGTCACACTTGTGATTTGACAGCTTAAAATGATGTTGACTGGTTCTTCTTCTTGGGTACATGCTGTTCTTCCTCAGGGACTGACCCAGTGCAACATGTTTCTCTATTGTCCTCATCTTTGTCGCCATATTTATCACAACATTTCGGCCGTTGTACGCTCCGGCCTTCTTCAGGTGGTTGGAATGTCTACTGCGGTAGACTGTTCTAGTTCCACATGCCATGTTTGACGGATGTCAGTTATCTCCTGTTAATTTTACCTCTGAAAGTTCTCCACTGCCTTAACCGGGTATTGAACTCACACTCTTTGGGTCCTGTCACTGGATCTAACCAACGCCTTTATCCACTGTGCCGTGTGTCCTTATTTAAACATTTCTGTTAAATCACCTTGAATAATTTTACACAGAAACAATCTTATTAATTTTCCTGCCCAGAGTAATTTATTTCTCATTTTAAGAATTGTGCTCAGTGCATTTATTTTCTATATAAGAAATATTAGCACATTCTAATTATTCACAATTCAAATGTTTTTAAAGTCCTTTATATTTTTACTTTTGTTTGTGATAAACAGGAAATATATAAATGTTGTTTGTTAATGGTTTAATCATGTATTTTAAACCAAAACTGACAGAAAAATTAAAATTTTCCTGCTTTGTTTATTAATGCAAATGTGAAAGCTATTAGAATCAAATGGTAATTATATCCTAATATTTTTCTTGCATTTTTTGTAATGTCAACAAATAATCGTTGCCACTTTTGTAATGGTCGTTGTAGTAGAGACTTTGTAATCGCAGATACAACTATAGTAATGCTGTTGAACAATACTGGTATCAGACGCCTCCAAATAACACTCACACTAATAGTACTTGCTCGAAAAGTAACCACCAAATAGTGATCACTTAGACACCACGCTAATTCCCTTATATACATTTCCTTTACCATCATGTGATCTACTTATTCAAAATGGGATCTCCTGTGTTTGCTCTCTGGTGATCTGTGTTCAAACTCAAGTGTCAGCAGTGACACTTTATTCTTATATAACACATTTAAAGAAAAATAATGCAAATATCTAAATTTATTTATCTTCAGCATTTCTTGTCATTACAATGTAACCAATACAAATATCTATTATATTTATGGTCTTCTCTCACGCACACGCATGATAAGAACAAATGGTGTATAATTCCACTGTCCGTAACATTTAATTTAAAAGAGGGCTCAATACAAATAGTATTATTTATTTTCAGAGATTAAAACAAAAGCATGTTAAAAATCACCACACAATAGCAATCGTGTTTAAACAGTACAAAGGTGTCTCCTCAGATGATGGTAAATTACTGGCAAGTAAACGATTAATTTCAAAAGCAGAATGCTTCCTTTTTTTTTTTTTTTTGAAAGAGAAGACAAAAAACATAAAAAAAATTAAAATGAGGCTTGTGGGTTTACCGTGATTAACCAATCAAATATGATGTGTATGCTAAAATCCAAACTAACTGAAAAAAAATGATACAAGTCATGACATGAAGTTGTCTACATAGAATCCTAGACAATTTTGTTTGCAACTGATACAAATGATTACATTATTTCCTAAAATATAGAGAAGTATGACATTCAACTTTAGAATATTACAGCAAAAACATATAAGAATCACTACACAATTGCAGTCATGTTTCAACACATAACAATGCATTTCCTCAGGCAATTGTAAATTACTGGAGAGTGAACAATTAATTTGGTTTCATAAGTAAAATACATCCTTTTTTTTTTTTTTTTTTTTTTTTTTAAAGAAAAAACAAAATATAAGGCTTGAGGGCTTTACCCTGGTCAGCCAAAGTGAAAAAGAAAAAAAGAAAAATTATTATCTTAGCAGCCAGGCATTAACTTAAAGACTGACACAAAAGGTTACAATAAATGTACATATGCCAAACGGTCAACTTTCATAAGAAATAAAAGTGAGGAGTGGGTAGAGAGGTAATTTAAATGAATGCACAACTAGTTATATGCTTTGTGAATTTCCTACATAAAAACTTTTTTTGTACTTGATAAATAAGAGGCCTCTTTAAGAAACCAGTAAATAATCTAAACATATATGGTTTTGGTAAATAATATGCAGCTGTTAAATAAATATCATCCATATAAGATGTTAATAATACCAACCAATCAATGTAAAATGTCAAAAATACTGATACATTCATATAAGATGTTAATAATACTACTACCAGGAGATCAATGCAGAAATTAAACACAAATTAATCATACAAATTAATATATATATATATATATATATATATATATATATATATATATATATATAAAAATTTGTCCTGCTTTCATCTGAAAGGCCAGAAATTTCATTTAATTATTAACAGAATTTGAAGATTTGCAATCCCATGAGCATCTGTTTCCAATTTTGATTTTTTTCTAATTTGTTTTTTTTTTTTTTTTCAGAAAATCTGACCACTGGACCTCCAGGAAATGCTCCAGATTTGACCATGGCATGCATTGTACAAACTTATAAATAGTAAGTATTGGTTGCAGAAGTTTGGTTAAAAAAAGAAAAAAAAGAGAATCTACTTACTGAAGCATTTGTTCATCCATAGTAGTATGCATCTTTAACTCTTCAATTCCACTCTTTATGATCCAGTTTTACCATTGATTTGGATAAGCAGTTGCGGGGGGGGGGATCTCTTATTACTATTTAATGGCAGTGTGACTCACCCTAAGCTAAATTTCAACAATTTTTTTTTTATTTATTTTTTTAATTTTTCATTTCACCCCAAGCAAGACAATAAGCCCCTATGATATAAAGGGTTAATGAGTGTAAGAGAATATGGAGGAAAAACACTATTATGGAAAGAAAACAATAAAAGAACAAGAATTAAAAAGATAGAATATAATTGTTGATGTTGCATTTACATTTTTGAAAATAAAAGTTGATTAGAAAATAAGAAGCCGAAAAAGAGTTCCACAAGCAAGAAACTGTTATCAGTTACATCTAGCGGCCATTTCAAGTGTAAAATGATGAGACTTTGCTGCCAATCTAGTACTGTGCTTAAATTCATAAAGTTTAGGTTCCATAAAGAAAAGTTGATCAGAATAATTATCATGAAAGTATTTATAGAAAAGTCACAGAGAAGCTACATTATCGTGGTGGGAAAGTGACTAAAGCTGAAATGGCAGGTTAAGACCACTAACATTGCAGATACTTCTTTGTATTTTATCAAGAAACTTTAAATACATAGCAGAAGTACCTAACTATGTGGCAACAGTATTCAAAGCATGGATGGATGGTAGACTTATAAAAATGTCAGGTAGATTCTGATGAGAAAAACTGTCTAGCACAACATGTGGAACCAACTTTCCTAGGAGTAGACCTAGCATTTGATTCAATATAATCTTTTCACTTCATATCAGTGGAAAACATTAGCCTGAGAAAGTTCAGTGAGTCACTCTTCTGGAGGTTAGCTTCAGTCATGATGATGGTTGGCAAACAGGGTTCTCTCAAGTTTGATTTTATTTGTTACTCAGTATTTAGCCACTGACAATGTTGTTACTCAATTAAGTAGAGAAGAATGGTTACATAGAAAAAAAATTACTTGATGAAATTTTATTAAAACAATTTTTTTTTATCTAAATTGAGAAAGGCACCTACCAGAATTGTCTTTAACATATTCATGAGTCTAGATCTTATGTGCAAAGATGAACTCAAAGGTGACTGTAGAGTTCAATGCAAGAATGGCAAAGACGTTCCCAATGGGGACAGTGAACTTGGCCTAAAGACTTGTGTGCTTCTATTACTGCCTGCTTGGCCATGAAGACATAAATGGTCAGGTGAAGCCAATTTCTGGTCTCAAGTGAAATTTTTCCTGTCATAGATTTCTCATAGTTTTTCATATCTGCACAGTTACAGAAACATTTTTTTTAGAAGGGCCAAGCACTAAGGTGCACAGGGTTAAACAGTGGCGCCATCTACCCTGAAGAAATCATATTCAATTCCTGCTGAAGAGCGCAAACTTTTCTTTAATGAGATTTCTCAAATATTCAGGCCAGTAGGTAAAAATAAATAAATATACTGTTTAATATATAAACAGAGGACATACTCAAATACTATTCACTAATAATAATATTTAAAGTTATATGATGAAATATAGATTTAAGGTATACAATATTTATGTATTAAAGTGCTCAATATCAGGAATAGAGCGTATGTAAATATAAAAGTGCACATTGAAATTAACACTAAGAGGTGACAGTCTGTTTCATGCTAAGTGCAATCGTCAAGCTATGTGCATTGTATTTTTGTTCCACTATCTATCTATCTATCTATCTATCTATCTATCTATCTATCTATCTATCTATATATATATATATATATATATATATATATATATATATATATATATATCTAGCTCAGTGATGTATTGTGGGTAGTCTATTGTATTGCATTGTGGGTAGTCTATTATTCTAATGGTGATTTTGGTGGGCATTAACAGTTTCAAATTATTCTGGGGGCTGTTGAGTGTTAAACGTACTTTTTTATTAGTTAACTTATTTATTATTGATTATTTTGTTGTTGGTTGTTATTCCTGCATTTTCTTCTGTTTACCTGTGTGTACATAGTTTGTTAATTTGTTTATTATTTACTTAGTTATTTGCTTGGATTAATTTTATTTGTTTTTATTTGCTTATTTTCATTTCTTCTTGTTCATTTCGTTTTTTAAGTAACATAGTAAAAATTTGTTTTCATGCCTGCATCTTGAGATGAGTTCTGATAGGAAGGTAATTATAGTTATTTTTCCTCAAAGTGGAGTTTACAGTTTTTGGATTGATAGTTGTAGGCTGATGTTCTTTTCCATTATATTTTTGGTGTGATTTGTTTTTGTTTTTAATCTCCCACATATATTTAGAAATCATTGAGTTGTTTGCATATTTAGTATTTGTAAAGGATGATTTGTGTGTGTGTGTGTGTAGTTTCTTTGTTTCCAGTGTCCTTCAGTTACTATTATGTATATTTTCTTCATTATCTGCTGATTTTCCAATGGCTGAGTATAATACATTGTTCTGCAAGCAATTGTCATTTAAGAGACATTTGTTCTTTATTCTTCAACGAAGCTAAGAAACAGCCCTAAAAGATAGTGAGTTCCCAGCAACACACACAAAAAACCAACAAGAAAAGAAACACCATATGGTTCAACCCACTGTACAACAAAAACATAGAATCAAAAGTAGGAAAAATATTCATGAAATTCACACAAACACTTCCCTGCATCAAGCATTCTCCACAAGATATTCAACAAAAACACAGTAAAAATCAGCTACAGTTGCAACATGACAAATGATAAAAAAGCACAACAGGAAGACAACCTGAACAAATTAATCCCATGTGTAACTGCAGAATAAAGAATGAAACTGTTAACATCCACCAAAAATAACTGTTAGAATAATACAATAGACTACCAACAAAATATCACTGAGCTGCTTATATAAATAGTTGAGCAAAAACAACGCACATGGCCTGACAGTTGTGTTTAGTATGAAACAGACTTTAACCTCTGGGTGTTGACTTCAATGTTCACTTGTTTGTGTGTGTATATATATATATATATATATATATATATATATATATATACACACACATGGGCAACAACCTTTTTTAAAAAATCATTCATTAAATATGGCAGACAAGGAAGATTTAATTAATGTTTATTACATTTTTCTGTTTTCTAAGAAAAACGTAAGGATGCTGGAAAAACTAAATAAACATTAATTAAATATTCATTGTCTGCTGTATTTAATGAAAATATATATATATATATATATATATATATATATATATATATAGGGTGTTTAGAATTGTTGGAATAAAAATTACTTCCAAAATGAAACTTTTAGAAAAAAATTCCTTAAAGAATTAAATTAAGATAAAGTGCTTACAAAAAAATGTATATTTTTTTAATGGAGCTGCCAGCATTTCATGCCCATCTGGCAAATGTTATATAATTCAATGCTGGCCATAACTAAAAAGATATTGTGTCAGAAGTAAAGTGTCTGAGGAAATAAAAAAAATTGTTAGCTAGAAAAACACACAGGGGAAATAATCCAGTCTCCAATAGAACCTGATACTTCTGATTTTAGAAGCTGAGCATTATTTTATAAATGAATTCCTTTCTTAAGAAATACTACTTCCTGAAACATTAAGAAGGCCTTAAGAAAACGTATTTTCAGATATGTACTCAATATAATATGGGGTAAAAATTTAAAAATTTCTATTATATTGTCTTTGAAATTAATTATCTTATCAGAAATAAATTTTGTTTTATGAAAAAAAATGTTTTTTTGTTTTTTTTAATAAAAAAAACAAAAAATAATATATATGTACGTATATGTACGTACACACACACACACACACACACACACACACACACACATATATATATATAAGGGTAGTAAAAAAAAAAATCTCTTCCAAGGCTTGCTTTTTAAAACTGCCCAACTGCCAGCCTCCATTGACGTTTTCTTTCAATGTGTGAAGCAATGATGTGTCATGAGGATTTTCACAATTTACATTTGTTGCTGTCCAATCATTTTGGAATCAGTCAGTTGCAACTTCTGTATATTGGGAGGAAACTCAGTTTTAGGTCCTTTTTTTTTTTAATACATCTTTTGAAACTAAAAACAATCTGACTTGTATTTTTATAATTATAAAACTAATTACAAAAGAAAATAATACAAACATTACAATTAGTGAGATATGTGGCCAAATCCTTAATTTCCGACTGGAATTGCTGTTGCATTCACCAAGTCTTATAAATATTCATGTTTGGACATTTTTTATTTCTTTACTAAACTCTCACTGAAAATCCCTTTTCTCGAGTTGAATACCAGTGAAGGTCTTCAAAAAATTGACAAGGTAAATATGGTTCAGCTATTGACAAGCAACAAACCAGACATGCAGTGCAATTAATTTTTATTCAGATTTTATTTGGTACATTTTAGACTTTGCAACTTCCACTAGAGACAATGTCATTTCAAGTTAGCCTTGGTCATTTATTGCTTGAAATTGCTTCCTTCTCCACATGAGACCCTGTGGCATGTATTCGACAACATTTGTCTATAACCTGAGAAACATTTTTGTCTTAGATGTTTTAGCTTTAAATGCATGAAATCCAAAGAAAATATTTTCAGTTTTCTTAAATTTTTCCCAAATAGCCAATATTAATATGTCGGGTTATACTTTATATAGTCTTTCTATGAATTAAAGGTATTTATGAAGGTCACCTGAGTTTAGCTTTAAGTATGGGTCACCCAGTGAGGATCAGACTCTCTATATTGTAGTAAAAATATCTGAGACTATCCTATGTAAAAAAAAATTTTAGGATGTTTATGCATACATGGATAGCTTCTTTTTTTTGTTGAAGCAGGACTGGGATTAATTTTGCACAAATCAAAGTGGGTCCTGCCTAATAAAGAATTTCTCATATTGATTTGAGGCAAAGTTTTACAAGGTCTAATGCTCTTTCTGATGTCTAACTCACAGTAGTCCAAGCATGCAGTATTTTTTGCCGACACACTCTCTAGGAAGGTTGCTATGCAAAGCCTGAGTTCCCGTCCTAACCTTATATATATGTTGGCAATTGGCTCCTATACGAAGCTCATCTGCCCTTTGACAGATCTTGTTCTTGTCCTGTAGGATGACATGCCACTGTCTTCACTAGCAGAAAAGTTAGGGGAGCTGTTTTAGATGCCAACCATTCATCCATGCAGCTGGTTGTACTAGGTTACTAGTAGCAGGCCTAAGCTTGACCTGACCTTAAATGTGTCAAAATTATTTATTATTTGAAAATTATCTTATTTCACATACGCATGTAAGGATTATGACTTTACTCTATTATTATTATTATTATTATTATTATTCAACGTGTATCTTTCCTAAAATTGGTTTAAGCATTTTAAGGGTGAGGACTTGTCCTTTGAAATAAAGCCCTGATATAAACAAACATTAGTTATTACATGATTTGATGTGTTTTAAAAATTGCTTTAAAACAATTGTCAGCATTCAAAAACTTTTCAAAGAGCTTGAAACAATCTCTTACGTCAAGTATTTTGTAGACTTCAAATATGTAGATGATTAGATTATAAAATGAAAATACTTTTGATACACCCAAATATAAGCCATACAGCCACATCATGTTGAAACACCAGTTCTCATATGAACACCAAAATTAAGCAGCATTAAGCTTGATCAGTACCTAGTAGGGTGACCAACTGCGAATACCAGGTGCTGTTAAGCTTGGATGTGTGGGCAGACTAATGAAATTGTAAATCAGAGAGCCAAGTTCCAATTCCAGTTGAGTTTGATATATTATCTTACTTACAAATGCCCTTGGGGAAAATGTGTGAATCTACCTGTTTTTTGCTAGCTATGGGTTAATTAGACTTGTATCTTAAAAAAAATTGCATACAGATAATTAGATTTCATCATTAAATAACCCATAGAGGTTGATATGCTGCTAAACAACCCTCCACAACCAAATATTAAATAAGCTTTGTTTAAACTGGTACAATAACATAGCATTAAAGTACACACGAGGCGTAAACTTAGTGAATTGGTTTGTGAGACGTGTGTTAAAAATACTACAATAGGCATCCAAGGTAGATATTTACTTAGATGAGTTAGGCACAAGACTACAGTAATGGGACAATTATGATTTTTTTTTTACTTTTTTATTAATGCTCCCCCAATAGAAGGCCAAAGAACCACTCAAAGTAGAGGGTTACTATGTGGAGATATATTAGTGTAGGAAAGGTCAAGGACTATAGAGCTGAAGTAGATTTTGGAAGGAACTAAAAATCAATCCTAAACAAAGAACAAACTTCTACTCCTGTTCAAAAGACTGGAAGGAGTGTGAACTGGGCGATAGATGGACCGATCTACTCCTATTAAAACTGAGTAGTAGTAGTAGTAGTAATCTGCTTGGCTTGCACAAAGCTTTTTATGACTTAAAATTTGATTCTTTGTGGTCTGGATTTTTTTTTTCTTGCTTTCAAACTGCTCTAATAATAAATCCCGTTATGGTGAACTTCTTTCATCTGGACTGGTCAAGTATTTTTTTTATTTTTTATTTTTTTTCTTCTTTCTTCTGCAGTGTTGAGAATGACTATAAACACCAAGGAAAATTGGGGGCTGCGATTTTATCAAATTATGCTACATCTGATGTAAGTAAATTTTATCATACTTATATCTTAGATTGACCTACGTAGATGTGAATATTATTTAACCAAACAGGTGCAAAAATCCATGTATATAAGTGTCAGAAATTACGTATATGATTTAAGAGCTGCTGTAGTTTTTACCTGAAAGTTAAAATTTCTGGCAATGTCTAAACTTTGAGCCCCCCAAAAAACATGTCAAAAGGATGGTTATTCCCTTCACACCACTATTACTGTATACCCATTTAACTCCTTCAGTAATGTTTGTTTTTAAAAAGTGATGATTATAATTTTATTAAAACACAAACATATAAATGTGGATTTATATATATTCTTGAGAATGACAACAAAGACATTAAATTGAATAAAAACTTGTTTTCATATTTATTTAGAAAATGGTAAATAATAAATATTGCATTGTAGTTGGTTTACATATTTTGATAATTTTCTCATTTTTTAATAAAGATTTCTTTTTCAAATTTATTTTTTATGAAACTAAATAAATCTTTATAAAAATGGCAAATAAGTTCATATATTTTTATAATTTTGTAATATTTTATAAATTTTTTAATCAAAATATTTTTTTTCAAATTAATTTCTTTATAATATGGTAAATACTAAATATTGCTTTGTGCTTGATTTCTATATTTTTATAATCTTGTGAATAAACATTGCCAAGGGAGTCGAAAGTGTACACAGTGTTATATCCTTATGCAATCAAAATCCCTAACCACACACATTTTACACTTAGCAAACCGTCTTTTTCCACCTCACTATAATATATAATATCCACTCACCCTCTCTCTTTCAATCTGTAATAGTAGTTACTGACTACAAGAACAATTAGGCCAGACAGGCTGATGAACTAGCAACAGGTTAAAGCAAGATCTAAAATAGATTCTCAAACGTGCTGAATCATGTGATCAAGTACGAAATCTCATGCAGGAAAATAATGAAAGGACTCAATTGGAATCTGAGTCTTAATCAAGTAACATCTCTTTTCACTTTTTACCATCAAGGAAATGAAATCCTGCAATGAAGACAAGTTCCAGTTCAACTCAACTCGACACACTATGCTGCATATATCAAATGTACAGGTGACTTACTAAGTGTGAGACAGGCATGTGTGACCTACTCAATTGGACACAGACTAAGACTTATACAGTGCTGAATATATGAAGAAGAGAGTAAACAACCAACTCTTCGGGTCAAAACTCATAACAGCAAAGAAAAAATAACATATCAAAAGATATCACTGCACAGGCAAAACAAACTGAACTGAAAGTAAAAAGAACAAAAGAGTAATATAAAGGAAAAGAGAAAACCCTATTTTATTTCAGGTGAATGACTAAAGTTAAGGAGGCTTTGACTATTCATATCAGATATATAAGGCATACATCTTTCCATAAAAATAGTGCGCAGAAAGTTGTTTGCTATATACCTTGCATTAATGTTTTCATGTATCGTCTTGTTATAATTAAATCTTATTAAATTATATATTGTTGTTTGTTACTGTTATTTCTCCTCATCCGTGTATTTGAACCTGTAAGATAATCCATCCACTAAAGAGAGAGTTGGTAAACATTGTTCCTATCCTATGACAACCAGTTCTTTTTTTTAATCTTTTTTTTTTTTAAATTTTGTCTTGTGGCAATTGGTCCGTTTACAACAGTAATAGTAGTATCGTGGGTATAACCGTCCTTTTACCACACTGTTTTTTTGTAGGCATGAAGTTTAAACATTGCCAACTTTTCTTTATAAAGAGTAAATACTAATAAACATTAATTATTTTATCCCTTTAAATTGTCATAAGAAGATGGGAAAAATATGTTGCTTTTCAACCATGAGGCTAATCTAATAATCTCATATGGAATAATTTGAAATGTCATTACAATGCAGAAAGATGTTTTATCACTTTAAATATTATTTATAATGGATACCCATATTTGAGTTTGGGCACCTCAGCGTGGTGTAATGGTTATCAAGCTTGTCTCGCTAGAATTTTTTATGACAGAGTAGTGAGTTCGATCCTCACTGGATGCTCCATACTTCCGACCATATGCCACTTCTAAGCAGCGCTTAGAAAATCATAATGGGCACCCTGGCATGGTGTAATGGTTAGCAAGCTTGTCTTGCTAGATCAGTTACTGCTGAAAAGTGAGTTCGATCCTCACTGGATGCCCCATACTTTTGGCCTTGTGCCACATCTAAGCTATGCTTGGAAAATCTCTACCCATATTTGAGTTGACACTTCATTTATTTTAAACTGTATTTTATTTCTACTGGTCTGAATATTGAAAAAAATCTTCTAAAAGAAAAACGTGCACTCCAGCAGGAAGTGAACCTGCATCCCTCTTTGTAGAAGAAATTACCATTAGATCCAATGTGGTTTAAGCAACTTATCTATAAAGAGCATCATGATTAAGCAAGGTTATATACTGTCTTTAAGCCCATCTTTCTGGAAGTTTATAACTGCTATCTGAAGCGTAAACAAAACGAAATTTATTTTAAGCAGTATTTTATTTTGTCTACTTGCCTGAATATTCCATTATTTAGAAATTTCTTTGTTTACATTTCGGATATGAAACTGAGCAGTTATGAATCGAAACAAGAAAGATGGACTTAAAGGCAATATACAACCTTGCTTAATCTCAATGCACTTCCTAACTGAGTAGGTTAAAGCACATTGGATCTAACAATGGTTTCACCTGCTAAGGAGGACTCTAGTTCAAATCCAGCCAGAGGGTGCATTTTTCTTTTAATAAGATTTCTCAAATTTTCTGGCTGCTAAACAAAATAAAATGCTGTTTAAAATAAATGGAATGTCTACTCAATTAGGGATATCTTCTAAAAAAAGGGGTTAAAAATATTGAATTAATAAATAAAAATCCATTTTTTTTCTTTAGAAATCTACTGAAGAATGTATAAGAGATGGCAATGTTAATATTAGCTGTTTCCTTATAGGGAAACATTTGGTGTATTACTGCGGGACATATCTCCTGGTAACCTGCATGATCAATGATACAGTATTCAGTTAAATTTTAAGGCATTCATATGAGGTCAAAAACATTGGTTTTATATCTACCCATTTCATCTTATAGCAGAGATTGCCTTTTCCTTGACATATGAATGAGCACTTGAGAATACCAGGAGCTATAAGCTTGGATGTGTGGGTGGTGTAATTGATAATGGCTCATAATTGTTTAACAGAAAGCTAATTTCCAATTCCAGTTGGACATTTGTGCATAAGCGAATATCACTTACACACAAATATCCTTGGAAAAGGTATGAATCCACCTCATCTCCATGCAAGCTATGGGTTAATTAGTAAAACTTGTGTCACTAAAACTATTATCATCTAAAAAAAAAAAAAAAATAAAATTGCATACAAGATATTTAGATTTCGACATTAAATAACCCATAGAGGTTTTGATATACTGCTAAAGAAAAACACCTGACCAATCCTCTTGTGTCCATACAACAACCTCAGTAAGAAGTCTTGGGGCGGTGGGGGTTGACAATTAGTAAAAAAAAAAAAAGGAAATCAGTTTGGTTATACTTCAGATGTCTTGACATGTTAGCTCCAGGGTGAAAACAACCATGTCAGAACAGAATATCCGCTCGCTGGTTGGTGTGAGAAATTAACTAATCATTTATGTGGAGTAGCAGTCAACAGCAGATTGGATGCAATGTATCCTGTAGGATGAGCTCTCAATGTGTTATTGGCAAGGATCACTGCCTTCCATATAATGACGTCTATGGCGTCATTCTCTGGAAGATGTTCAGTGGTTGTCTGTCAAGTGGAAATTCTACAACAATACAAAATGTTTCTCATATCCATTGACATGAATAAAGTACTTTTGTCTGTCTGAATGTAGACATGCGAAAATAGCAAATAAGTGGTTGACTAGTATGGAAAGTTTGACACTGAAATCCGAAGGTGCACTGGGGTGACCAAAGATGTATTCCAAAGACTAAGCAGGGTATTAAGAAACAGAAAAACTTTGTTAGAAACAGAGAGTACTGAATTATTATGTATAATAATATAATATGTATATTTATTATGTATAATAATATAATATGTATATTAAGTACTATGTGATATGTCCTCCTATATGGTAGGAAGCCGAGGATAGCATAGACCGAATATGTGAGCAACGACAAAATTTTAGAGAAATGGAAACAAAAAGGAAACTTATACTTAACATCAGGAAGAGACAGTTGAAATGTCTAGGGTACATAATGAGGAAAGAGGGCTTGGAAAATCTGTTACTCACAGGATAGATTGCATGCAAGTGGTACAGAGGAAAACTGCACATGACATACTTACTGAGCCTGGGTAAATGGAGGGTAGAACAGAGCTTAGGAGAAATAACATTGATAAAATTTATTAAGAACTACAAACTGTGGAGAACAATGATCGTCAACGTCCTGAGGATACACTACATATAAAGAAGTAGCTTGATATGTCATATTTGGACAAATGGAAAGTAAGAGAACTCTTCTATTATAGTAAGTATCTGTTAATTTAATTTGGTATCAAATAGCCTTTAAATTAATACCAAGTCTAGTTTCTCAAATGATATAGTTATCTTGATTAAATGTGATACACTAGTTAGTGAAACTGTGACAATGGAACCCAATGATGAAACCTTTTTGTATCCACAAAAGGGAATGATAGATTCCTTGTAAAAATTTCTAGCATTCACTTTGCACCTGGATGACAAAGAGAGTTGTGCAATTTAACTCGTACATTGACACCAATAGCAGAACACTATGCTCTCGACAAAATATATCTTATAATGTTAATCCTTCATACACAGTATTTTGTATCAAAACTGTAGCAAGCAAGTACAATCCTCCATCTCTGAATTTTATCATTCTTCATTTTACTAAACAGCTTAGAATCTAATCCTGAATGCCACTAATTTCTGATCAATAAGAAGGGTAAAGTTAAATAGTGTCTTCATTTGAACAGAGCCTCTATTCTAGAATGTTCTTCCTTTTTCTAAGTGATTTTTGTTCATGTGCATTTAATGTTGCTGAAAAGAAAGCCACTGTTTTGATTTTGAGGTGGAAGCAATAATCTGACAAGGGAATGGACTGCAGCATTTTCTCTTTTTTTTATTTATTTTTTTATGTTTTTTAAAGAACATTTAAATGCCTTTTCAGCTATCTTGGTTAGTGGAAAAAATCCTTCTGGCTTTTGGCCAAAATATGTTCAACAAATTAGTGACTCTTCTGTTTAGAAGCATTAATTTTTTTCTTAGTAATTTTTGAAGATTTTAAAATCTCCATCGTCATTCATAAAACAATCATTTTGCAGAAAAATAAATTTTTCAGCTCTAAATTTTCTTCATTCCACATACTTGATTGACAAGAGCATATTTATTTATTTATTTACACAATTTACATTTTGGCTATTCTTCTCATCTTTATTATTACAACATTTCATCCGTTGTGCTCTCTGACCATCATCAGGTGTATATTGATCTGGGTAATCTACAGGGTATTCATATTTAACTTTGCACTTTTTTAAAAATGATGTTTTTCTTCCTTTTCAGTATCGAATTCTATTGTACATTTCCAAACAGAAACAAGTTACAAATGTCCAGATATCAAAAAACTTTGCATTCACTGTAAGTCAACCTATTTTTCTCTTTGTATCATTAATTACATTTCTGATTTTTTTTTCTTTCATAAGCATTAACTGCATGGTGGCCTAATGCTTTTTGGCCAGTAAAATTGAAACTACAAATTTTGTTCACTTATCATTAACGCTTTTATAAGTATGTCCAATACCCCTTGCACTTTGTTCCATTATCATATATTTTGAACTTAGTCTTGTTACTGGCATGTCATAATGATAGGGAAAAGGTACATACAGGACTACTCTTTTGTTTTTTGCAAATGTCATAAGACAGAATTAACAACAGAAATGTAATTCTGAGAAGTTACAAAGAAGTGCTGAAAAATTCTCTGCCTGATCAAGATGTCTTTCCAAAGGGAATTCTAATTCTTCATTACTGATTTAGATTTTGGGAAGTAGGCCATGCCAAAAACTTTTCATCACCCGATTGTATTAATCCCCATGTTGTTTGAACTAATATCATCATCTTTCTTTGTTGGTTGTATTTGGTTAAAGGTGATAAACCTCAAAGAATACAATGGTTGGAAAGTTGGTATAAAAGCATCAAGGATTGTGCTTTGCGAAATAATGATAAGGATTCATCTAAGAACACCTTGACTAAAAGTAATCATAAAAAGCAACAAGGATGAAGACAATGGGAATGTCTGAAGAATAAATTGACCAAAATGTAGGGATAAAAGCAACTTTTTTTTTCTTTTAATCATTTCACCCCAAGCAAGGCTATAAAGCTACTAAAATTCAAGTGGTTACTGAGGGTGTGATAATATATGAGAAAAAGAAAAAATTAAAAACAATAAAGGAACATGAATTAAGAAGAAAGAAAATAATGATTGATACTGCATTTAAATTTTTGAAGATCAAAGTTGCCTAGAAAACAAGAACCAGGAAAAATTTCACAAGTGAGAATTGTGAGAGAAGAAACAGCATAGAACTTATGGTTACATGAAGCCATTTCATTTGCAAAATGATGAGACCTTGCCACCAATCTTGTATGTTTACAATTCATAAAGTCTAGGTACCAAAGAGGAAAGCTCATCAGAACAATTCCATGAAAATATAAGAAAATGTACAGGGAAGCTTTGTTACAGAATTATGAACCAATAAAGATGACCATATTAATCCAAAGAACTTATGGAAATTATTACCTCATGAAATTATGTTTCTTGACTGATATCTTCACTACATTTCAAAAAGCTCATAGATTTTATCTTTCATTGTGAAAAAGCAAGCCTCTATTCTATTGGGCTTTTATCTTGAGCGGTTTTTTTTTGTGTTTTTTTTTCTGCAATATTTCCTCCACTGTACTTTTTCAGTTGTCTGTTGCATTTCAGAAAGTCAAATCTTGTGAAAAATTCTAACTTAAACTGTTTCAAAGATGCTTTACTGTTTGTCTTTTCCAGATGCAAGCCAACAATTATGCCGTGTTCTATGATGCTAGTCGTCAGGGTTGGTCTATCTTGTTTGAATCACAACAAATTGCTCACAAGTTTGGAAAAGAGGTAATTATTATGAAATGTTTATTTATGAATATTTTTCTGCTTTTACCCTTTCATAGCGGAGAAAATATAAATTTGTCATTAGTTCATCTAGGAACATGATGTGTAAAAAAGTCTTCACATATTAATAGATAAGACATATCTACATCTGTCCTAGCTTGCTTGTATGCATGTCAATCTATTGCATAAAAACTTTTGTTTTTTAAGGCATCCTAGAAACTTTTGTCTTTTTAAGGTATTCTAGAAACTTTGATCAAATAATCCAAAGCCACACTGACATCATGATAATGATTTTGGGACTTCTATTCAGGTAGCTTCTCCTAGGGTTGCTGGGCCCTACCTAATTAGTTTGCAACACTACACTGTTCATTTAACTGAAATGAATAAATCATTTTAAGTAATATGCATTTATTCTGTTCTTATTTAATTAAGAAATCCTGAGATGTCATGGTGATTACTCCTATCAAAAGTAAGTAACCCTTGTGACAAGGCATCTAGAGAAGCTCAAAAGTGGATGTCCTTGCAATATGTTCTTGTCTAAACTTCTACTTTCAACCAAATCTATTACACTAACTTCTCACACTGGGCAATGAGTCAACAAGGAAATAATATATTCAACATATCGCTTGGCCAAAGAGGGTTATGGATGGCATGATCAAAGGATATGTGGCCCATATTTGTGGATATGTGACAGAATGAAGACACTTTTTCTATATACTGTGTCCCAGTAGGATGTGGGCAATCATGACTCCCCCCACAACTTCCTATCTTTTGTAACTTTTAGCAATATTTGTCAGCCATTCATTTACACAAGCTCATCAGGTAGGTTAATTGCTGTCTCCTTTGTTGCCTTCTATGTGTCTTGTGAGTGTCAAATTCTCCAAGCCTTATGTGTCCCAGATTTCAACTGTCGCTTTCTGATTCTAAGTATTTTGTTTCCATTTTCCTTAACATGTTGTTCACATGATTCTTCCATGATTAGCAAGACTAATCTAAGCTGATTAGTAGCCACAGAATAAAAGTCTTAGTAGTTTCAGGGAATTAAATACTTTATCAGAACCTTTATCAGATTATTCTGTTAAAAAAAAAAAAGCCCCCAAACAGCTTAATTAGAATTAAATAAAGGGCAGTTAATCAGTGCCTGACGGCCATTGGTTGGTGTTGATCTCATTAAAGTATATCAAATTTAGAACCATCAATCAATCAATCAAAAATTGAAATAGATATCTATGAAGTAGTATTCAGTTGTGGAGAGGTGGATCAAGGTTTGATTAAATCAACTGTGAAGCAAGTCTTATGTTGAAAAACCCCAATGATCCTAGTGAAAAATATCACTGACAACACTCCTCAGCATATTGGAAAAGTGTATTTTGTGAACTAGTCATAAAATTAAAGGCTGATAATGCTTCATCTCATAATAATTAAATTCAAGATAATTTTACTACTACTGGATAATTGCAATGAAATGAAATTAAAGAAAGAAATACAAGTCAAGTATTGACCCACATTCTTCTGACATCAATTTAAACTTTTTTATTATTATTATAAATTATAATTTTGCACAGGCGAGAATTTCATTTAAATAATTTGGAAAATGTTTGTCTTCATCTAAAATCAAGAAAATACAAACTTTAAGCAAAGTAGTCACAATATAGGGGGGGAGTAAGTGTCAGTTTAAACTGACACAAAGAAGATATGGTTTAATAATGGCTGACAATGTTTCATCTTATAATAATAAAATTAATGATAATATTATTACTAGTAATACTCCTTGTGGGCATAAAAACAATATCAAATATAGAGGAGAATAATGTGTTTATATAGTGAGATTTGATTGGCTTTGTTAACCTAAATTGTTGAGCTGCTGTCATATTTAAACAGGTTTCTTGAGAAAAAAGCCAAGGTCTTTGGATATTTCAATATCAGAAATTTTATTTTCATTCTTGCAGGTGGCACTTGCAAAGGCAAATTCTTGTGCTGGTTCCTTAGATTCTGTGATCATCCAAGATTTAACACCAGGTGAAGGAGGCTCTTTGGAAGTTGGGGATTCAGCAGAAGTGAAATATTCTGGGTGGCTATACACTAATCACAAACTGGGGCAGGTAAGTTTGACTTGCAACTTCACCTTTTGTCTTCCTTCAATATGCTTACCTTTGTGTGCATAACTGTATTGTCAGGTAGATGTCATTCTTTCCTTTTTTTCTTATGATGGAATATATTTATTATCAGTTTCCTGAATGACATATGAATTAAGATTCAATTGTCCTGGGTATGACTATAAACTACATCTGGCAGCAAGGCCTCTGATTGAGAGATTGGAGGTTTTGAGGAGCGTGGAATCACATTTTAACTGCTCTTGTTTCCAAGTCCACCATGGCCCGGGGTGGTAGCACCTGTTAGGGTCCCAGCTATGGACAAATAGTGAATTCCTAAACAAAAATTAACAGTACATTTTTATAGTAAAATGACAATCAATACAACACTAAAAAAAAAAGTATAAAAATACATTTTTACCGTAAAATTATCAGCGATGCATTTTATAATCTCTATATTTATATAAAAAAACATACCTTTTACCCTGAAAGTATAAAATTCTGTAAAAAATATTTAGATTTCAGCATTAAATAACCAATCGAGGTTGTTATGCTGCTAAACGAAATCAACCAACAGAATTAAGATTCAAACTGTTAATGTAAAATATATCTATTAAAATGCTGTATATTATTTGATTTTGTGAAGAGGTTAAAGAGAATTGATGCCAAAGAAACTGTTAATTCTTCCTATTGTTCCAAGATTTCAGCCGAAAGCACTGATCACCCATACATAAGGTCAACTCCTAATAATTTATCTATATCTATAATTCTCAAAGTGTGTGTGTGTGTGTGTGTGTGTGTGTGTGTGTGATCAGATGTTGCTTATGCGTTACCACAGTTTTCATCTGATTTCGATGATTGTTTTATTTTGTTTGATTGATAATTCTTCATTGCTGGTTTTAAGTTCAAATTGGTTGGAAAAAATTACAACCTTGAAGGTGAAAAATCGAAAAAAAAGTGATTTTTTTACACTTTGTGTAAAAACCAAAGGCAAAATTTAATATCTGCAAAAAACAGCAGACAATCAGTTTAGAGAGTTGAAATCTAATGCAAAAGATCATTAGAATTATAAAAAAAATATATAATTTAAATAAAAATTATTGTATATTATTATTATGACAGTCCATAGAAGAGGTTCTTTCCTTGCAAGATTGAGAACACAAAAATGGCTCTTTTCAGGGCCAGCCCTCATTGAAATTGTTATACCCCTTTCTATTTTTGTAGATTTACTGAATTCATTTTCTGTCTGTATGTGTGCAGTTTGCTTCCAGTATAGGTTCTAGATTATTCTAATATCTTTCCCAAGTAAATCTATCTAATCTAGTTGTTCAAAAAGTTCTTTGTTATGTACTTTATCAGTTACTTTTGCATAATCTATGAAATATAGATGTACTTCCTTTTGCAGTTGTGTTACTTTGTTATTATTCTGAGAGTCACATTTCAACCCTGACCACATTAAAGATGCCAGTAGAAATAGAAAATATACCAATATACATCCAATCATTACAAACTCTGTCACCAAATATAAAAAATTCTTAAACTACTGATAAGGAAATTCTGAAAGATCTTTAAGAAACTAGAGAATAATAAATCATCACTCGACATTGAGGCTGAAGTTTTGAAAATGGCTTAATTTCTCCCCAAATTCAATAACAAGTTTGTTTCTCAATTTTATGAAAGAAATCTGGAATCAGAATGCATCCAAAAAAGTGCACTAATTAATTCACTATGAAAACAAAAAAGTATCCCTCAAGACCCACACACGTACAGAGGTATCTCCTCAATTGGATCCATTATGGTGAAAGTATGAATGAACCTTATATTAACTAGGATCTCATTGTTTTATGAAAATCAACTGCTCACAACTCAGTTTGGTTTTCATTCTGGTAAGGGGTGTAATGATGGCATATCAAACAATTTCAGGGAATTGCATACCACTCTAATAGAAAATTGTATCTCTGCTATGTTGACCTTACAGAAGCAGCATATGACAACATCAATAAAGATGTCCTCTTATCATTCATTATAAACTGCCTCCCAAATTACGAATCTACTGAAGGCATCGATCTAATAGAAGAACTTTATAAGTCCACAAAATCTTACATGTCTGGCAAGGACCCTAATACAAATACATTTCAAGCCTCATTAGGGATACGACAAGAAGGGAATGAGAGACATAATCTGTTTAATCTTATTCCTAGACTATGTCCTGTACAGATGTGAAGAGATATGTACCAATCATTTAAGCATTCAATATCACATCCCAAACGAATCAGCTAATCGAAGACAACTATCCTGCTTTCCATCTTGAGGCCAATGTATTGATGATGGAGTTAAGGATCTGGGGGTGATACTGATGAGATAGGTATTCATAATTGGGATAGTAATGATCTTGAACAGAAAAATCAACATCCTCTACCAAAGGTTACAAGAAATGGGATTTAAGATAAACTTTTCCAAAATGGAAACTATGATCTGGAATTGGAATGAAAGCAGTGATGACACATATACTGAGTCCATCATAACAATTCAGAATATGAAACTAGTAAATATTAAACACTGCAAATACCTCAGTATATGAATCATTTGTAACAAATTTAGCATAGGAAATAAAAAAAATTTAGAATAGGCTCCACCACAGGTAGTTTTGCCTAACACAGCAAATTACTACAAAACCAAAACATTAACCTGAAAACCCAAGCCATATTCTTAAATAGCTTCATCAGATTGCATACATGGTACCAAACCCATTCAGAAATATCTAAACTGTCAACTGCATTCAGCCACTTACTCAGATCAATGGTTTTGAGTGAGTAAATGAGTCTTGATGAAGACGATACTTCCTCAAATCTTGTACACTGTTGCTACAGAATCACAACTGAAGAACTGTACCAGATAATGAAAACCACATCACTTGAGGACTTTCAACTGCAGTAACAATTAAAATGGGTTGCACATATAACTTGAGGAGAAAATAATGACATAATCAAGATGTTGACACTACTTCAAATAAAGGGTGAGGAAGGAAACCCTCATTAATACTAGAAAGAGTGATAACAGCTACTGGGCTTGACAAACCTATTTTCCTGAAAAATTGTTTTAAGAGAAAATGACAGTATTACTAGATGCTCAGTCAATGAATACTAAATGTTTCCTTATAAGAAAATGGCTAATATTGCCATTACCATATGTATCACATTCCTCATTTCAGTGTCTTTAATGAAAGCACATTGTTCTTGTCCTATTTTTAGTCTAAATTTGCTATGCGTTCTAGTCAGCAGAATTTGGATAAGTGTCAGGCTGATTGTGCAATAGACTTCACATTCATTTGCACCTGGCTTCTTAAGCAGTGCTATGAAAGTGGATCTACTTGGATCTTCCAGTATATCACCACTGTCATATTTATTATGTTTGTAATTATGTCACTACCAAAATCATCTAAGGCCACCAGCATCCGTATTACAATTCCATCTCATCCTGCTGCTTTGTTCCTCTTCAATTTGGCCAATGCTGATTTCACTTCAGACTTTAATATTTCTGGTCCTTCTATATTTTAGGAATTGCAGGTTTTCCTCTTTCATTATGGAAGCATTCTGCAATGTATTCATTATTTAAATACTTAATGTGTTTTATCTTAGTTGACCAGACTAAGATAAAACAAAGATAAAATTTTAATATTTTTTGTGATTATTGGATTTCACAAGTGAAGCTAAGAATTGTTCCTTTCATCATTAATGAATTTTAACCTCATAAAGTTATCACTTGTGTATTGATTGATTGCAAATTATTTGCTTTTTATTATGTTCTTATACACAAACAATAATCTTTTCCATCAGTCACCTATGCAAAACTATTACCCATGTATAGTTTGTAAATTGACCCTACCACAATATTTTGCATAGATTGTTTTATTTTTCATGTTCCACAAATATGTTTTTTTTTTTTATTTTATATACTATTTTCATTATTGTCTATAATGTTATACAGCTTTAATTCATTCTTCCAGTCGGTAATCTTGACTTTTCTTTCCAAGCTTGTTGCAAATGGAAGTCTACTCAACTTATTATATACATTCAAGTTTTGTATCTTTGAAATGGTTTTATCAGATTTTCTTTTATTGACTGATTCTTCTTTCGATTTATTTAAATAAGTTACTTCATTTATTCATCTAGTTATTTTTTTATTTTTTATCATTTCAATTATTTTTGTATTTCAGATGTTTGATTCCAATATCAATTCAGACAAGCAATTCCGATTCAAACTTGGCAAAGGAAAAGTAATTAAGGTGAGTCAATGATAGAGAGAGCTTCATTTTTTTTTTTTTTTTTTTGGTCATAGCTTGCATTTTTCTAAGGACAGACAAGATTTTATAAAGTCTTATATAAATAATTTTGATGTAATCATATCCCCTTTCCTCACTCTCTTGACAATAGTCCTTTTATCTGTTTCTTTGTTTAGTTCAATAACTTTTATATCATTTTTAATACCTTGCTCTTACTGTAGGCTAAAGATTGCCAAATATCATACAAAATCAGATGCCATTTTATAGCCAATAAAAGATCAAATGGTTTAAGAGTTTACAGCTGAAATGTATTTACATTCATGTAGTTTTGTGAGATTAAAATGAAATTTCCATAAGAAAACAAAAGAAGTAGAAACTTATGAAATTACATCAAAATTATTTTCATTTAAATGTTATTATCATTAAAATAATTGTTATCAATTTTATCAAAGACTAAAATGTGATAACTATAGATTTAAATTACTTGTAATATTTCTTAAATTACATAAATGAACAATAAACTTTCTATATTAAATTACACCATTTGTTACTGAATGGAATTTTTTTCTATTTTTATTTTCCTTTAAATATTACTTCATTCTCAAAAGAGTTGTTAACATAGGTTCATAAATAATAATTGTCAATATTGTGGTTAAAACACCAAAATTTTACATGACCAGCAATGAAAACAATACTTTATATAGCTATACCGTGCAAAAATTTTATACCTAGAAATTTAGCTGTCACCCACTTTTAATGATATTATGGAGTACACCTGCCTTCTACCAAGTGATATTACTGGTTGTATTTTGATAAGATTTTTGTTAAACAAAGTAGCATTCTCTATTGAAAAAATTACAAATGGCTGTTCTTAAATCAATATAACTCTTGTAATAATATTGCTTTTAAAGTTTTAACTTGGCCTTAGAATGAAGGCAAATATTTATCATGACTGGATTATAATCAGAAACAAAAATAGTTAAGAACACATTACTTTAAACAACTTATATGTAGGCTTTCCTGTCAAAGGATTAGTCACTGAAGGTGCTAACTTGATAATTGATTTTATTAAGTATGCTTTATCTATTCTGATTGGATAGTCTTGCTACTTATTTTAATAGCAATGTTTTGTAAAAATTGACTTTGTTGACTGACTGGAAGTTAGTATGTATACCAAATTAACCTTTAAAATACTGGAGGTGATTTTGCTGGCAAAGCAAAAAGTTTATCCTGCCTCTGCAAGTGACTCAGATGAATGAATAATTAGAGTGTTTGAATTTTGTAGTTGTGTTACCATATCCTGTTAGGGCAACAAAACATGATCATGACTAAAATTAAATCGTGCAGTAGAGGAGCCTTGGAAAACAATGCAGTGGAAAGGAAAGTAATGAATAATGTAATGTGTTAAAGGTTACATTTTTAAACAAGAACTATGCTTGGATTTTAGATTTCCAGTTGCTTTTTGTCCTAAAATACTTATTTACTTATTTATTTATTTATTTTTTTTATAAATTTCATATTTATTTTTAAAATGACATTTGTATACAATGATAAAAGACTTCATATAGTCAAACCATTTGACATTACTACAGTTTATTATAGAAATGAATCCAACAAGCGGGTGAAGAGACCCTGACTTGGATGTATATGAAGCATTGGGAACAATCAGTTTCTTCTTTGAAGTGTTTGTTGACTTGTTGGTACCTTCTCCAACATGAGTTGCCCACTTCCATAATTGGCTGTTTGGAGAGGGTAATAAAACAGTACAGGTGGTGCTGGTGACAAGATTTGCATGCAAACACTAATGCTTAGTTGTTGACCAATCACATCCAATCAGTGGTTGGTACCAAGCATACTCAAGACTTTTTTTTTTTCATTGGAAAGCATTTTCTCTCAGCTCTATATGTTGTCATTGTGAAGGACAGAAGTTTGGCTGCTGATATCTTCTTGGATTTATTTTCTATTTTAATTATAAACTGAATTTGTTACTCCAAATGACATTTTCTTTTGTCAGTTTCAAGTTTTTTTTGTTTGTCTTTTTATCAATATCTTTTTCTTTTCAGGGATGGGAAACTGGAATTGTTGGAATGAAGAAAGGTGGACGTCGATTTCTCATTGTGCCTCCTGGTTTAGCTTATGGTGAACAGGGAATGGGAGACAAGGTCCCGCCAAATTCTACTTTGATCTTTGAGATAGAAATGATCCGAGTAAGTACTATACACATCTCCTGTGAGTGGCTGTGTGGTTATCTGGCCATGCACAGGTCTTCATATTATTTTAGCAAGCATGTCTCTAATTTATCCACTGTTCACTGTTATGTTATAGACTCAGCATTGTTGATTATAGATTTGTCTCTCAGAAAAGAGAAATTCAAAAGGAAGCTCTATTTCTCCTTGTGAAATGGTCGTGTTCTAGAATCATGGTATCACCCAAAGATTAAAAAATACACTGCTTTTATAGAGCTTTAATACTGACAAACTAACGAGTCAAAACCTGAACTCATCAGACATATTAAAGTTGTCTAGTATATTCTTTGACTTCTGACTGGACAATCCTGTTATAGCAGACTGTATTCAGATTTGGTAAAGGTATCAATCCATTTCTCCAGTTATGGGTTAATTAGTAAGACTTGTATCACTAAACCATTATTATCTTAAAAAGAAAAAAAAAGATTCTTAAAATCTAAAAATGTTTTTTGGCATTAAATAACCTGCAATGGGTTGATAAGTCATAAAAAAAATAAATCGATCAATTAATCATCTCTGATTTTATGGGCCAACATAATCAAATACATTACTTTTGTTTGCAACACACACACTTAAAATATTTTCATAAAATGCTCTTAAATACATGAAAATAAATCTTTTAAAAATAATTTTTAAATGGATATTTTTTCTTCCTCCATCTATATTAATTCAAAAAACTTTCCAAAGAAAATATTTTAGTTTCATCATAGTTTTTAATTTCGAATTCAGAGCAGAATTCTAATGAAGTTTGAAATAAATTTACAGTTTATTAAATTCCTCAGATCTTTTCAGCTGTTAACACTCTGCATTATTGACATGTATAACTTCCATGGAATTCTTATTTAAGCCCCCACAACTGCAGTAACCCCATTTTTGATTTCAGTTGCTATGACAACACCACTACAAAGTTCAAACATGTTTTGAGTTGTCTGCAGTGACAGGACAAAATGTTTTGCTCAGCATTCACTTGGAAGAGAGTACTAAAGGTTAAAACTAAATATTTTTAATGTTCACATAATATTTTATTGAAATCTGATGATTTACTGATTTCTAGTAGATTTTATGTTAAAGAAACTAACATTGTTATTATTGAACACAAAATGATTTAGCAAAATAATGTCAAATGAAAGTAATAAATACAAAAAGCAAAAAAGTTCAACATTGGTAATCATGGTAATCCCAAAAAATCTACCAAGAAGTAATTTAAAATGATCCACAGGATGTTAACATAGTGACTTCACCAAGTGAAATGACTATGATTAATTTTAGTCCCTGTATGTGTGCCTGTGTAATTGTCTGGTTCTCACTCCTCCCTGATCATTTCAATGTTATTTTTACTGGATACAGATATTTGACTAGATGCTCTGTTTATTTATTAACCATTATATTTAATTAAACTTGATTAGAAAAATCTTATTAAGTAATAAAAATGTTGGATTAATGAAAAATCCGTTCCTAAACTTGCTTTGTTTACATTAGGATACAAAACTGAGCAGAGATGTATATTTCTCTAGAATCAGGGAAAAATCTGTTTAACAGCAACTATTTGAGCTTTGCTTGGCCATAGGTTCTCTTTAGCCGAGAAGCCAAAGCATGCCAGATCTAATAACTGTTCCCTCTGGGAGAATGCAGGTTCAAATTCTGCTGAAGAGCACACATTTTTCTAATAAGATTTCTCAAATATGATGAAAATAGATAAATATACTGTTTCATAAATAAACAGAGCATCTACACCAGGGGTCATCAAAATTTCTTTCTTTCCTTCTTTCTTTCCTCCCTTCCTTCTTTCTTTCCTCCCTTCCTTCTTTCTTTCCTCCCTTCCTTCTTTCTTTCCTCCCTTCCTTCTTTCTTTCCTCCCTTCCTTCTTTCTTTCCTCCCTTCCTTCTTTCTTTCCTCCCTTCCTTCTTTCTTTCCTCCCTTCCTTCTTTCTTTCCTCCCTTCCTTCTTTCTTTTCTTATTTCTCTTTCTTTTTTTTTTCCTTTCTTTTCTTCCTCCTTTCTTTCTTTCATCTTTTTTGTATGCTTTGTTGTTCTCACAAAAAACAAACAGCATCTCTGATACATCTGTTTCTTCCCTTTTTCTTCTCAAAGAATGGTCCATTATTTACTGGAAGTAATAACAGGACAATGCACATACCAAAGATAGGAACATGCAGAATGGTAAATAGGATATCAGGATTTTATCCAATCACTCTTTCTTCCAATGTCACAAACAATATAATTAACATTTTAAAAGTTTCAGGCCTTTGTTTTGACATGTTTTTGCTTTCATGTGTGCAGCATTACCTATAGTTTGGATTTCTCATCAGCTGCATCATCACATTGTTCTTCATGGTATTTCAAGAGCCACATCAAGACTGTAAGGCTGCCGATAGACCTGATGGATGTGTTTTCTCCCCAATACCTGCAGGCATAAAACTAACATCCCCGTGGGTCTAGAATTGATTGTAAAGTGAAGAAAGCATGTGACACATTCTTTATTTTGTGTGTTTAATTACAGCAACACCTGATGATACAAAATCAGTGAGAAAAGTTGACAGTGAACCTCCTCCTCTGCATTGTTTTGCAGGTGAAATTGGCCCATGGCGACAGTACAACACCTGAGCGACCAAATGCTGAAAACAGTGCACCCCAGGCACAGGCAACCACTGACTCCAATAACAGTAGAGATACAGATGGTGCTCCAACTGAAGAAACGGTCAAATCACGATCAAGATCCATTAATGAACAGTTGGCACAGGTACCTCTGCAATTTTCCCATTCTAATGGAATTTACTTTGTATTTTTCTTATTTTTATTTTATAAATGCATGTGGTCATAGTCTTGACAAGGAAAAAGTAAAATGCTATATTTTAACTAAAATATAAATTTGCAGAATCATTTTCTTCACCAGTAACATGTTTGTAGCAAGGAAGAAAAGCCATAATTAGCATGTGTTTATTGTGACAGACAGACAAAATAGCTTGTATGAAAAATAAAGAATTATCACATACTCCTTAATACAACTGCCAAACACAAAATTCTAACTCAAATCATATCGTGGACACATCTTCCACTCTGAGGGCTCAGAAGCTGTTGTAACCTAGAGAAGGTTACTGAATAGAATAATCACCCGAAGGTTGATAATGAAAAATAATACTTAGGACAAGAACAAAACATATATGATTTGCCAGCAGCATATAGAAGTAGTCAACTGCTAGAAGTGAGTCAAATGAATTTCACAATGAATTTACGACTGCAGACCAACACATACAGTATTCACTACTGTATTTATGGGAATGGGGGCATACTCATCATCTGTAGATACGCTACAAGCCAACTCAACAACTGTCATTTTCATCAGCTGCAAAATCAAACAAACCTTTGTTTCATTTTGAGCAGTTGATGGAGTTCACTAAATGCTGTCAGCTATTTCTGCTGTCCATTGCAATAAACACATGCTAATCACAACCATTCTTCCTTAATGTTTCCTAAATGAGTTGTTGCAAGTAAGCAGATTTAAAACAACACTACTTTTGATTTCCTATTAATTCATGAGGAATCTATGCAGCAAAATTTTATTTTTCATCCTTTTAGCAAGAAACTCCAATTTTGGGCTGAAAGAGCTGAAATTAATGATCTACACTTATCCTCTACAGTTTTTTCTCAATTTGTAATATTTGTAGTTCATCCTTTTGTCTCGTTATTATTTTCATTTCTGGGCCAAAGTCTCTGAATCTGATAATATATCCACTTGAAATCACTTCTCCAAATACTAAACTGATAATTTTCTATATGCTCTAGCATGTTCCAAGTTTCAACTTCTGCAAAAAGAATTTTCATATTTGTTTCAGAGACAATATATTTTCAAAAGAAAACAAAGTGTATCATGAAACTTTCTATAGAGCAAAATATAACAGTAGAATTTACGATGATGCAATGCAATAGACACTGACTTTATATCCTGATAGAATCAAATCCTCATTCATCATCAGTGAGATATTTTAGAGGGTCAGAAAACATTCCAGATAGAGGTGTTGTGGTCAATCTAGGTTTGCCAGTCTTTCAGGTTAAAAGCAAGACTCACAAAAAATGCTAGCCTTATCTCTTAAAATGGCTGATATTGACAACTAGATCCATGAGACATTTCCTATGGACAAAAATCATTCCAAGCATAGATGATGTGGCCAATCTAGGTTTGACCAAGTCTTTCACGTTAAAAGCAAGATTCACATAAAGTCTTTCACGTTAAAAGCAAGATTCACATAAAGTCTTTCACGTTAAAAGCAAGATTCACATAAAGTCTTTCACGTTAAAAGCAAGATTCACATAAAGTGAAAAATAGAAATACCACCCTTCATTCTTTTGTCCATTCAAAATTGTTCACTTCAAATGAATCCAATCATCTTGATTGTTTGCCTGTGCTTATAAACATCCAAAAATTGTTACCATTAACACTTTCTTTCTTTATTTTTTCTATTTTTCAATATAATATGGCAAAATATTCTATTAGATTTTATTAAAAACTTCTATTAAATTTTATTAAAAGCTGCACTCCATGCAGATTTTAAGCTAGCTCCTGGGGTGGGCTAATTAGGCCTCTGGTCCAAAACAAAAGGGACTTCTTGTTCAGCTTAGAAAACAGGAATGATCATTTTGAAGAAATAAAACTGATTTCCTCAATTCACAAAGTTTTGGAGATATTTTAAACTGAATTTAAAACAAAAGTTTTTAAATTAACAAAGTTTTTGTGTTATTCAATATAAATCAAAAACTTTTAAAATCACTAATTTATTTCAGTTATTTTAAAATTTGAATTTTTAACTGTTCCCTCCTGGATGCAAATCCCAATACTAGATATTCATGCACCAGATGAAGGGGAGATTTTATATCCTGGGATCATCCTGATTCCAAAAAGGTTTATGTCTATTTTGAACAAGTGTGGCCCAAGTCAGAGGGTTTCAGACACATGGACAGACACACAAAATTTTCCATGATTCAAGACAATTCATAGATGGTGGTAAAGGCAATGGCAACAATGATTCTTCAAGAGGGAGTTGATGTAACATCTTCAGAGCAATTTCTTTATCAATCTCTTGGATTGTGATTCAAGGTAATTCATAATTTATGTCGACATTGGTTGTCCTGGAGTAATTAACATGATCTCATGTGACCTTTATTTGTCCTGACCATTCTGATTGTTCTGGAGCAGATAACAAGATATCTAAAATATCTGATGTGACCTTTCTTTGTCCTAAACCTTCTTACTCTGGAAGTTGATATCAATTAAAGACTATTCATATTGAAAGCAATATTTGTCCTGTAGCTTCTGATGAAATGTTTTATTAATATTATGACACTCAAAAATATCCTGGTCCCATGTTATTAAAATAATAGTGTGGAAACAGGTTGATAACACTTGAAAGAATCCCCTAAAAGTGGTCAACAATTAAAATAATTTAGAATTCTCTGGTTGCCATCTCACTCAGCTAAGTCTGCCTACACAATGTCTAGAACCTTTTCCTTGGAGTATTTCTTCTGTCTAATCTCTGTTGATACCATTCTGTTTCATCACCCCTCCCTGCATCTTTCTCAGGGTCCCTCCTTTTCCTAACCCTACTTCTCTTGACTTCTTTCCAGTCTCCCAAAAGTGATAAGGCCCGTCTCATCTCACGTATGGCAAAGATGGGTCAGCCCATGTTACCTAGGGTTGGTACTATTCCTGCAACTACTACCGACAGTGAAGGAGAAGAAATTCCTGTAAGTAATTCACTATGTTTTACACATAGGAACCTCACTAAATAAAAAAGGCGGGGAGACAGATTTCCGTTTGACAACAACATAGCTAAATATTTTTTTTTTTTTTTGTGCCTCATTTAGGATTCTGTTATACAGAGGCATTGGCTAAGCTAAACAAGAACCTCTTCTATTGTTGATTTCTGTCAAGAAACACAATTATTCTTTTTATCTAAGACTTTGAAATGTATTATAAATATGGATGGTCAATGTCTGACATAATCTTAAGAATAAAGGATGCAAGTTCTTTATTACTCATTTAATATATTGGCTCTCAAGCCTCATTTCCCTTGTTGCCCCAGGGTTCCAACACTATAACTTAATCAATCTTGGTACAAGCGAATTTATGTTTTAACATTGATTCCAATATGAAGCAAGTATATTATAAGTATTATTTATTACCCACAACCCACCGGTGTGTTGCTCAGTATCATAATCCATTTTACAAGCCACCGTTTCACGTGAATACATTGTACAGATCTATGTATGTAAAAATAAGAAAAAAAAAAACTGACCATGAAAAAACAGTAGAAATTCCAAAAGGAATATGAAATAAAAAAAAAAAAAAAAAAAAAAAAAAAAAGATTAAATTTTTGTTCTTCTGTTGTACTATGATCTCATAATCAATCATAGCATCCTACTCCCAATAATCCTCACAGAAAAGAAATTGGAAAATGACCTACTGGAGGATCATGTGAGTCTTACAGAGATATCACCATAACACTCCGGTAGATTGTGTGGGAGCCAATGTGTTAATTCTTGTAGGATGTAAAATGACATGAAGGCTGCAATAAAAAGATGAATGAATGAAAAACTAGTCAAAAATTAATAATAAAAATGTTCCATCCAAAAAATTTGTTAATCCTCATTATTGTTTCAAACTTTGAGAAGACGAGGCATATTATTCACTAGCAGTATAATCCGCCTTCAACTGGATGTTTCATTACTGCGAATTTTTGCCGTTCAGTTGGAGCAGTTTAAGTTTAAAGTCGTCTCACCTGAAAATCAATATTAGTAACAACAATTGGGTGCAACTGAGGCACATTCCCAAATGGAGGAGTTAACAATTTGAATTGGGGATTTTTGTTTTTCTCAATCTTGCAAGTAAAGAACCTCTTCCATGGACTGTCATAATAATAATAATAATAATATACAATACTTTTTATTTATAATATAATTTTTTTTTTTTTTTTTATAATTCTGATAATCTTTTGCATTAGATTTCAACTCTCTAAATTCATTCTATGCTGTTTTTTTATAGACATTAAATTTGGCTTTGATTTTTGTGCAAAGTGTAAAAAATCAGTTTTTTTTTTAATTTTTCACCATCAAGGTTGTAATTTTTTCCAGCCAATTTAGACTTAAAACTGGCACTAAAGAATTATCTATCAAACAAAAAAAAAATTCATCAAAATCGGATGAAAACTGTAGAAACACATAAACAACATCCGATCACATACATATGCGCACACACACACACATTTTGAGAATTATAGATATAGATTGAATTTTTCACTGTCTTTTTCTTAATATTTTAACTAATACATTTTTTGAGTTTAATTTCGGTGTAAACTTTTTTTTTTTTCATTGCACCAATGGAATTATCATTCAACAAAGAATTCATGTGCAAAATGCTCGAGAATAATTGAATTGAAACATTTACACAAAAACCCCAACAAAGAAAGGCTAATTGTCCAAATTGAAACAAAAAAATTGACATTCTTGTACTTTCTTGTATTCATGCCTCTTCAAATGCAGGTCAAATAAAGTACAAGGGGATTTTTTAATTTTCAAAATGTTAATAATTTTCCTATTTATTCAGGAGGCAAGAGAAAGAGGAAAAATAACTCTTGAATAAATGGCGTTATGGGGTGGGGGTCAAACAAAGTTCACCATAGTGTTCTCTTAATTTTTAAAAGTATAATGAATATACCTCCACCACCCATTTATTTGAGAGGCAAGAGTACAGACTAAGGAAAAATTACACTTGCCTTTCAAAAAGAGTGAGTACATTTACTAAAATTTTGAAAATGAAGAGAACACTTTTTTTTTTTTTTTTTAAAACCCCATCATTTATTCAAGCAGCAAAAATTTACCTGAACACCTACGCATGCAATCATTATATTCTTATTTATTCATATTTTTCAAATTTTGGCCATTTTCACCTATTTCAGCCTATACATTCTTCAGTCTTCCTGTATTGTTTGAAGTTCAGAAATTATTTTCATTGTTCTATGTATTTTGGCGATTGTTGTCAGTGTAGTTTTAGTTGTAACGCATTCTTTGACTTTCATCAGCTGCATCAAGTTACTGTATTTAAAAGTGATTTTGCATATTTCTCTCTCTCCTCGCTTCAACAAATCTAACTGAGCTTTTCCGATCTCATGTCTTAACACCCTAACCCAATCAACACAAACCCTTAACACTCGGTCCTGTGATTCTCTTTGACTGTGGTGTTCTGGTTTTTCTATATTGGATCTTTGAAACCAGTTTCCTCATTGTTTTTGTACCCTCCACCCTTGCTCAGGTATCAACCACATTATGTCACATTCGAGGAATGTCAATCAGAAATCTTTAATCTGTAAGGATATGTTGTCCTCATTACTCTACCTGCCAGCCTCAATGTCCGCCTTAGAGAAATTTCCAAACCGTTTGTTTTTCCAAGGAGTCAGTGCTGTTTGATTCAGGTATTGATCATTGAACTTCCAGGTAAATCTCTACTGGCATGTTTATCCACTATGTCTTGTCTTGGACAAGAATAAGATAGATATTGAACAAGACTAAAAGATATACAAGCTAAAGCATCATGAAAAACACTGGCAAGAAAAATGGTCCAAATGAATCAATGTATAATAGCAATAATATCTTGTCTTAGATACACAGTGCTGCCTCTTGTTACCATCACTTAAACTCAGTAATGAACAATTCATAAATTTTATTTAATAATGGTTCCAAAGTGTAAAACTGCTGTCAATTTGGATATGTCAAAGAGAAACCAGAAAGTGTTCCTTTTAAGTGCAAAGGTCAAAGTTTTCAACTTCATAAGGCAAGAAAAAATATACTATGATTTTACTTTTAAGCTGATGTGATATCAAAAAGATGAGTATCATCAATTCCAACACAAGAACACAATTTTGGCGTTTCCTATAGACATTATTGTCTGTAGATACAACCACTTCTCTCAGAATGCAAAATGCCAGATATATATATATATATATAAAACTATGTTTGGGTGATTTTAGTAAGTGTAGCACCCAGTGAGAATCAAACTCACTATGCAGTTGTAATTGATCTAGCAAGATAAGTTCGCTAATGATTGCACCATGTTGAAGTGCTCTCAATTTACTAAGCATAGCTTAGTTGTGGCACATGGCCAAAAATATGGATTGAAGACAAGCTTGCTAATGATTACACCACATTGAAGTGTCCTTGCTATCTGCTTGAATATGTTCACATGATTTGGGTGGAACCTTTTACATGATAGTTATGTACCTACCTACCTACCTACCTACCTACCTACCTACATTTGAGTTTCTTTTTATTTTGGTTTTCTCGTTTGTTTTTTTTTTCAGTAGGTAGATAGGTTCACTTATCATCTGGTTCGCACTCCTTCCTAGTCTTTTAGACAGGAGTAGAATCATATCCCTTTTTTCCTGTTTAGGATTGTGTTGCCAGTTCCTTCTCATTTTTCTTAAACCCTACACAATAATCATCCCAGCTCATCTATTTGAAACTCAAAGGCATATATATATATATATATATATATATATATATATATATATATATAATTTTCAAACAGTTTCCATTGAATAATATAGACATATTATGTCTATTTATTTTTATAATAATCCTTTCTAGTTCATAATTACTAATATATCCCCCACTGATCCCAATAAAAAATTAAACTAACTTAATTATACATGATAACATTTCTCTGTCAACTCATGTTTTGGAAAAGACCAACATTGTATATCAATTTAAATGTCCTTTGGGTGATTGTATCTCTGATAAAACAAAAAGTAAATACTTATATTGGTTTGACAACCACAACATTATCTTATGCTTCATTTGTCAGATAAAAGTTCTGTTGCACAACATCTAAAAACATTCCTCTCCATTTTCACAATACAGGAAAATACGTGTTGACAACAACAATATACTACTCCATGAAAATAATAAACAAAAACTTAAAATTCTCAAGGCCCTCTATATCAAAATCAACCAACTAACACTCAACAAAATTTATTACATGTGTAGCAGCCACATGTGCATTTAACAAACACTGAAAGCCGTTTTGCATTTCTACCAATTTAATATGGATAATTTTAAAATTTTAAAATAATTATAACAGAACATGTGTTTTTAAAAATCACAGCTGTCACAGTTACAATGTACTTGTCTTTGTAATTCACTCCTGAGGATGATCTTGGAGGAGATTGAAAGTACTTGAGTTGGAAAGAACAAATGGCACCTTCCATGATGAATTTTATCTTGACATCAAGAAAATAATTAGAGAACTACAAAGGATTAGTATAAAAATAAATAAGATAAACTATGTCTATATTATTCAATGAAACATGTTTGAATGAGGATATAAATGTAACACTAAATTTATTCAGACATCACTAAAATAATACAAGTTAGCTATGGATTCTACAAGAGATGCTTAAACTGGTGGCCTTTAGCTTCCAGACATTTATTTGTATGCCAAACTACTGCTTGGCCAACACTGACCAAAGTATCCAGTTGGGTTGCTGCACCTACATTTTCAATTTCTTGTGTAAGGGCTGCCAATTTAATGCAATTTGTTGAGAAAATATCGTACAACAGTAAACAGTATTCTCGCAATTTGATAAATATGAAAGACAAGTTTTCCTTCCTGAAGTCTGTAGACATTTTTTGGGGGCAGACTCTGTATATATATATATATATATATATATATATATATATATATATATATATATATATATATTTGGTTGGATAGATGTGAGTTTGTGACCCTGGGTTTCATGCTTTAGCGATCGTCAGACAAACTGATTAATTTTTTTTAAATTTTGGGTTTATTTTTTAAAAAATTAATCAGTTTGTCTGGCAATCGCTAAAGCATGAAACCGAGGGTCACAAACTCACATCTATCCAACCAAATATGTTAGCTCTATCTCTGATATTGAGCGCTTTCTAATAAGTACCGCGCATATGATATATAAATAATTATATATATATATTATATAGGCAGCAAATGTTCTTTTTAAAACAAATGCTATAAAAAGCCAACAAATATTTTGTTGATTAATTTTAATGATGAACTTTTCTAAGTTACAAATAATCCTTCTCTGACATGGAGGAAATTCCATCAGAAATTGTTCAAAGTTCTTTTTGGAAAAAAAGTACAGGAAATATTGTCCAAACTTTCAACTTTCTTAAGTCATCATCAACTGTTACATGCTTTTACTACATACTTCTAACAGTTTATTTTTAAAAAAAAAAAAAAAGATAGCATTGTTACACCAATTCAAAATTATACTAAATTCACCAATTGTTGCTTGGACCAAATTTCCTGTACTTTTCTTCCAAAATGTATTTCAGACAATTTTTTTGATGGAATTTCCTCTTTATCTGAGAAAACTTGGAAAACTCAATCAATAAAATTAATGAACACAAAATTTCTGTCATTTTATATATATGTGTATTTGCTTTAATTTCTTCGCAGGTATCTTCCCCACCTGATGGTGATATTGTGCCTCCAAATAAGCCAGAACCTCCGCAGAAATCTTCATGTCAGTCTGCAGGAAATTCTCAGGCAAAAGTTCACACAACCAATGCAATGCCCATGCATTCTAATCCATATTCCCTAGGTAAGTAATGAACCTCACCTATCTCTCTCATGAGGTGATCATTAATTATAGCTTTATGTCAGACTTTGCTTAATAAATATTCATATCTTGATATCTCAATAAATGCTTTGAGATTGAAATTTACTTTGTCTGTTACTAGTTTTTGAGATGATTATAAATTAACCCTTTTGAGACTCCTTAAACTACCTCTCAAGGTTTTTGGGATTCCTGTGATTTTATATATATATATATATATATATATATATATATATATGTGTGTGCGTGATTCACAGACAGTACTGTTTCGCTGTATCACAGCTCCTCAGTGTGACTAAACATCTGAATGCCTCAATCCAGGACCGAAACCTGACTGATTTGGTGTCAGAGTTTCTACCACTGAGCTATCTTCACTCGGCAGAGAGAAACAGCTAATTCTAGCATATTTTTTTTACAGATGTAAACAAAGGCCAATCAGTCAGTGCTCCAAATTCATTTTACTAGTGAGCTTTACATTAGTGCAAGTGGCTGTTGTTTATAGAATTAGGCTTATCTTTCAACAGTACCCAAGTGAAATATATTTTCAAGAGCTAAATTATGTCATTCGCAGACAGTATATATATATATATATATATATATATATATATATATATGCACACACACACACACTGTAATTCTCATAGAATGCGGATCTGATCTGTATACCATGAAGGAAAATGATATTTTCTAACTGAAAACATTATTATGGTGATGAATAAGTGAAAACTATTAGAAATAATTGGCTACATGAGCAGCCAACTGAGTTTTATGAAGCTGGAAGCTATGTCCTCAGTCATAGGTGGAGCATTATCATTGAAAGAGGTGATGCCTATATTGTGCAGTAGGGATGTGAACCTGTGATGTATAGTCATATCTTGATGTACAATATGTTTGATTGTGTTCTTTATTTCTTATATAGTGCCGTCCTGGATATGACAATAAATTACGTCCGCGTCCTGGGTAAGATGATAAACTACATCCAACAGCAAGGCATCTGATCAGGAGGTTTGGAGGGGTGTGGAACTACCTCTTAATTGCTGTTGTTCCCAGGTCCACCCTGGCCCAGGGTGGTAGCACCTGTCAGGGTTCCAGCTATAAGCAAGTAGTTAACCCCTGTCCCAAACTGGGGTCAAAACATATGAAAATAGGTTTTAATACCAGCAAAACATTTTTGAAAAAACAAATATTACCAGCAATACATATTTGAAGGAAAATTATTACCAGAAATAGATTTTTGAAGGAAAAATATTACCAGAAATAGATTTTTGAAGAAAAAATATTACCAGAAATAGATTTTTGAAGAAAACCTATTACCAACAATAACAATTTTGTCAGCATTAAATAACTCACTGAGGTTGATATGCCGTAAAATAAAACAAATTAAACCAGACCAATCTTATATAGTGAAACAATTTGCATTACTTTTTGACCTACCCTTGTATTAAAGTGTCTAACAATTCCAGGTAAATCTGTTCATGATTGACTAGATAAGAAACCTCAGTTTAACTGCATTCCTCTCCACCACTTAACTTGGAAAATCTGTACCACAATTGCTGTTTAAATATGTGCACATGTTTAATTTCTCTGAAACATACATAGCATTCTGACAGGTAATAAAAAGTGATTTTCTAAGGTCCCCATTTTGACACTGACAGCAAATACACAGTCATCTCTTTTATACATTCAGCTGACAGTGATATGTTGTCTTTTGGGCAAGCAAATGACAAAATGGAAAATATTTGTATATCATATCATTCATATTGTCTTTTTGTCAATCCACTACATTTAGTTTGTTGTCTTTGTATCTTTAGGACTTCCTACCACCCAGCAACTTGCTGTCTACCAGAATCCTCATGTGCCACCCCAGACAAATGCCATATCTTCAGGAATGCACCCACAGGTGAGTACAAGAGTCATGCCTCCTATTTTATTATATTGGCCCACAATATTAGAGGTAGATGTGGGTGGTATGGCAGTAGAGGTTGAATTTTCCCTGCCAATACCTCAGGTTTTTCTTTATTACAGATAGTTGTCTGACAAAGTGACATCTGACATGAATGTGCATACAAAGCAGATATTGTTTTTAATTTTCCCCATGTAGACAAAAAACAAACTTTCACCCTTTGTCATTCATTGATGCTTGCTAAACATTTATGGAGACCAAACAGTGGATATGAGCACAATGTGATTCAACAGTGGTTACCACAATGTCTGTGACAAGTCCTGTTTCATGTAGTCTTGCATAGCTGCCAACCCATGTAATATTCAAGATTGGTGAAAAGGCATAGTCAATGATGGTGACTATATAGAGGGAAAAAATAGTGTTTTGTAGCTGAGACATTACTTTTGGAGTATCTCACATGTTATATTGTTTTTGGGGGGTGAGTTGTTTTTTTTTTTTTTTTAATCAAAGCAGTAATGCCACTCATATGCAAGAAGTTACAGGGAGTGAAAATTAAAGAAGATTGTGGGAAGATTGAGAAAATATTAACAGGGTTCAAGAAGACAGAAAATGGTGATTGACATTACATTTGAATTTTTGATGATTGTAGTTATTAGGGAAGCAGGAAACTGAAGAGAATTCCACAGGTGAGAAGTGCGAGAAAAGAAAGTGTTAAAGTAGAAGTGGCAGTTGCATTTAGCTTTTCAACAGTAAAATGGTGGGACCTAGTTGCCAATCTAGTAACACATTTAAGTTCATGTAATCAGGACAGGAAAACAGCATGTCAGAACTGTTGCCCTGAAAATATTTGTAGAAAAGACAGAGGGAAGCCATATCATGTTGGCAAGAAAGTGACTGAAGTCAAGATGCCAGGTCAGGCTGGATTACATTACAGATCCTTCTTTGAATTTTGTCAAGAATCTTGAGATTTACAATGGCTTCAAAGCATAAGTAAGTAGGTCATCTATCACTATGCCTACATGTATCATCATAGAGGTTTCAGTTTTGCATTTACTCTGAGACACAAGGGGCTAGTTATGTGTTCCCGCATTTTCCATTTGATTCAAAATAAAACGCAGGAACACATAAATAGCCCCTTGTGTCTCAGAGTAAATGCAAAACCACTATGATGATACATATGGGCATAGTGATAGATGACCTACTTACTTATGTTTTTTCCATTTGACTCAAAATAATTAGGTTTCGGTCATTGTCCAGTATGAAGGATGTTTTTGCATGACACCATTGCAGATTGAATATGACTAAACCCCTGAAGGCCCCAACAGTGGAATAGGCAAAGATCTACAAGTTCTCAGTGGCCAAACTGGCAAAGGAGGGCAGCACCAGTTGGCTGGCGTAACAAATGCAGACCAAGCATATGACAGCTCAATGCAACCAGGTCTGCCAGATCTCGCATGTCTCGATTCTCTTTGAACCATGAGGGAGGCACTTCTGGCCAATTGTGTGGGCTTCTCCATTGTGAGTTTTCTACCAAAATCAAATTCATGTGAATGGCCTCATCAAACTCTTTCATTCACAGCCATCTTCGCCACCGCCACCAGGGGAGAGAAAGAGAATAAGGGAGAAAGGATGATACCAATGCTCGGATTAGGGTGGGTGCCGACAATTGCAGTTTGATGTCACAAATCTGATCTGTCAGATTCTGCCATTGACGACCTCCAACAGTCTGTTGCCAATGTCTTCACCATAATCATGGCAGAGGTGGCTTCTGGGTGCTATGACTTGCCAAAGAACAATCTGTGATGCTGTACCAGGGCCATATATCATTTTAAATTCAGAGTTTTCATTCTCCTAGACTGATTGCTAGCCACTGCTAGTGAGCGCAGTTTGCCTTGCTATTTAATCCACAGCTGGAGGAGAAGCTAGATACAAATTAGAGATATCATAATAGATCATACCATCTTAAATAAATCCGGAATGTTTTGCAGCAATTTTTAACATCAACTTGAGATTTTTCTTGTTAGATAATTTTAACACATTAAACATTATGGATAAAAATAGTGAATTTTATATAGTGTTTTTTCAAGACTTATCAAGAGGAAAACAAATTCTCAGATTTGGACAAAATTAGACACCAGAATGATATCAAAATCCATGGAGATTTTTCATCCTTTAATAATCAGTTATGTTTAGTTTAATTTGTAATGTAACATAAATAGAGGTAGAAAAAAGAAAAAATGGTAAGATAACTAGTGTCACAAAGCACTGCCTGGGGCTCCCTACCAGTCCTGAGTCCCCCCTCTTGAGGTGTTCAGGATTAATACACACACCAGCCCTGCTAGATGTAACCATAAGTTTCTTTCACTTTTTGCTCATGGGACTCACTTTTTGCTTCTTGATTTCCAGTCAATCATTATCTTCTGTTCTTTTAGTGTTCTGGTTCCTTAATAATTTTCTTTTCTTTTTTTTTATATTCTTTCATACTCAGTTACTCCCTGCATCTTAGTATCTTTATTGTCTTACTTGGGGTGAAATGATTAAAAAGAGAAAATCCATGATCCCTTATAGGGTCCAGAGTCCTTATTTAGGTTTTCTGCATGAATGTGAGGTATTTTTTTAATTTTCTGTACTTAAATCATGTCACCAGGTTACATGTTTTGCATTCATTTGATGACATGCTAATGTGAACATGCTCCTACGAGATGTGATCAAGCCATTTTGTTGAATATATCAGTGGTCTACTTGGTTGCTGAGATAGTTTTCGATTTTCCAACAGCTGAGATTGTGTTTTCTTCAAATCCAGGTAAAAGCCAATGTTTTGAATGCTGAATTTCATGGAAGAATCACTCTCACTCTTTGAGAAATTGGCAAAACACTATCTTCTTCTACCATTTCTATCCATTTGACCTTCTCCTGTATAATCCTAAATGAAATAAATACCAAATCTGCTAAAACCTCCCCAACTTGGAAAATTGATGCAACACAGTCTTCCTCCTTCTATTTCTTTGTATTTGGCATTGTGCTAAAGTTAAGCTTAGCATTAAAGTCTAAATAAAAGTCAAGACGCTGATTTTTAAGCTAGGCAAATCTTCCTCTTTACAACACAATCTTGTTACCCTCAATTGCCTCACTTTTCTTTTTTTTTTTTTTTTTTTTTTTTTTTTTTAACTAAAAAAGCCTACTGTTTTCTCCTGGTCACTGCTCAAGGCCATGTATAAATCATAATTTTGTTGATTTTCATGGCAAGAAGTCGCTCCCCACTTGAAAGATTAACCCAACATATTCTACCTAAATCTACTGCTAATTTCTCGTGTCTTATTCATTGAGTTTTGACTTTTTTTTTTTCTTCTTTCATAGATCTCTCCTGTTCATCCAATGGCACCATTTCAGACCACACCACCCCAGCCACTGTATAATCATCAACCATACCCTCAACAAACTTATCCTGGTAAGTTACAATTGATCAACCATTTTGATTCTCCTGTTTCTATGACTGATATATATATATATATATATATATATATATATCACTAACTAATCTCTTTTTAGAAATCTGCTAGGATTAGGGTTCATACAAGTCCTGAAAACCTTGAAAAGATCTGTAATTTTCTAAATTGTGCTGTTCACACATCCCTTTTCTCAATTCACAAGTCAAAATACAAAATCCCAGAAATTTGGCTCTAAAATTGTCCTTTAAGAAAAATGATTTTTAGTCGTCAATAATGTTTGGCAATTAATGTGAGCAGTGCTTTGTTTTCTTGATGAGAACGAACTCATGACCTCATAGTTAGTTCTGTATTTAATGTCAATAATGTCAATAATGTCAATAATAATGTCAATAATGTCAATAATTGTATTTAATGTCAATAATGTTTGGCAATTAATGTGAGCAGTGCTTTGTTTTCTTGATGAGAACGAACTCATGACCTCATAGTTAGTTCTGTATTTAATGTCAATAATGTCAATAATGTCAATAATAATGTCAATAATGTCAATAATGTCAATAATTGTATTTAATGTCAATAATGTTTGGCAATTAATGTGAGCAGTGCTTTGTTTTCTTGATGAGAACGAACTCATGACCTCATAGTTAGTTCTGTATTTAATGTCAATAATGTCAATAATGTCAATAATAATGTCAATAATGTCAATAATTGTATTTAATGTCAATAATGTTTGGCAATTAATGTGAGCAGTGCTTTGTTTTCTTGATGAGAACGAACTCATGACCTCATAGTTAGTTCTGTATTTTCTCATCCAGGTGATGAGAAAGAATATGAAAGCATGTCTTACCCTAGCTGCTACCCTCACTCATCAAGAACAGTCATTATTCACAAACATTTCAAATTAATGTCATTGGATATGGTCACTTTGATGTGATACCAAAGATGGCCATAGGAGTGCTATACTGAACATGGCTATTTTAAGAATATAAAATAGTGTGATTTTTATTTTTTTGGTTTACTTATTATTTTAGGAAACATAGTTAATTTTCCCAAATGTTCAAACACTCATTCATTTGTCAACCAATGTAGTATTTCACTGATGAGATATTTTGTCAACATTTCTGTCAATTACACTAATCACAGGGAAGAGCAACTTTATGCTTTAAGTGCATTTGTTTAAAATTCATTTTGTGTTGTATCTCTGTTTTCAAGATAAGAGAGAGAAATAAATAAGGAAGACAAACTAGTAGATAATGAATGACATAGAAGGTTTACTACACACAAGGTACACTTAGCAATTGACCTAATGCTAACTCTGTTCAACTCCGCTTAACACCGTTTATTTACGTAAAAGACAATCCCATTCATTTATGGCCTATATAACAATTTGTAAAGTCTGTTTTCTGTATTGGCAACATTTATGCTATCCTACACCGTATATATAACCCATACAACATGCTACCCAAACGTTTAGTGAATTTAAGGCATGAACAAAATTGATCTAAAATAGGCATCTTTATTTCTTGGTGGAGTGATTTTAAGAGATGCGTGAAATGTACTGCGAGGTCTTAGAAGCACTGAATCACTTTTCAGATGAATAGATTGATTAATCTGTTCAAACCCCCTGAACTTTAAGGTAGTACTTTGTCTACTTTTGCTGCATACATAGAGCCATCTTTTTAGGCGACTGAAAAGATGACTGCTTGATGACTTCTTTGTACTGCACTTAACCATTTTTTTTTGTTCGACCAATTTCAAAATAGTCACAAAGGAAACTTCTTGCATGAAAAGAATTTACATATCTACATATGCATGCACATATATATATATATATATATATTACTTACCTCCATTATTGTATATATTCTCCTGTTTATACATGTGTAAATGCTGATGGAGCAGACAACTTGCAGAATGCTTATATTGAATTGCTTAACTTATCTTTTTTTTTTTTTTTTTTGCATTGTTCCCAGCCCCTGTAAGTTCAGCTGATGTACATGTTCCAGTTATTTTATCCGAATCCCGACAGCACAGTGCTGAAATGCGCCTTGCCATGTCCAGTGTCTCTGAAAAGGTTGATAAAATTCTCAATAAGGTGACTAATTTTTGCCAAGTTTTTTTTCCTATTCTTCCCCACCCAACCTCACTCCCAAAAATTTCATCTTTGTGCATGCAAGACCAACAAAACTGTCAAATATTTGTGTGTGTGTATATATATATATATATATATATATATATATATATATATATATATATATATATAATAAAAGGCTTAAACACTAATATTCCATGGTCATAGTTTATTCCATTGGAATCATAAATACGATCCAATTCATCAGACCTACAAATTAAAAAAAAAAAAAGAGAAAAAAACAACTCCAGATATAAAAATAGAATTTAGAGAGAGTGTAAGTATGAGAGTGTGTTCCTTGGATTGAGGAATCAGAGAGCTTGGTTCAAATTCCAATCAGATCCATTACATTCACTTATGTGCTAATACCCTTGGGAAAGGTATGAATCCTCTTCTCCATGGGTAAATACCAGGATAGGCTGTTTTTTATAGCCTTGGGTGGCAACCGGTCTAGGAGAAGGGAAACTGAATTCAAAACAAGCCTGGAGAGGGTTTGGCTCTGTTAGGCTATATTGCCTAAGAAACCCCACTTCTACTGTGGATTCAGTACATGTGGTGCCCCTATAACCCTGATGGGTCACAGGATTTGTGATCATGAGAGGTTTATCCCTTTTTCCTGCTTAGATTTGGGTTTCCCGTTCTGGTTGTTTAAAATTTGCTATATTCACAGGGAGACAGTGTTCAATATCAGAGATAGAGCATTAGTAAATAAATATAGAATAGGTATAAAAAATCAATACAGTAGCTGAGGATTTGTGGGCAAATTTCCTTGTTTTTGTTATTGTGGATAAATAGAGGCTGAATACACAGTAGGAGACTAGGCTTTTAAATAAATATGTGCGTATGTCTGTGTGTATATATATATATATATATATATATATGTAGTAGGAGACACGGTGGAGTAATGGATAGCAGCTCCAATTTAGAAATTGGAGAACTGAGTTCGAATTCTAGTCGACTCCATTACATTCACTTACGTGCTAATACCCTTGGGAAAGTTATGAATCCTCTTCTACTCCTAACATGTTTAATTAGCAGGACAGACTTGGTTCTATAACCTTGGATTGAAACTCACCTAGGTGAAGGAAAAACTCAATTAAAAACCCACCTGGAGTGGGTTGGGCTCTGTCTGGTTATCTTGCCTTACTGTGGCTGCAGTACATGTGGTGCTCTACAACACTGATGGGTCATGGGATTTGCAATCATGATATATATGTTAAATTTGTAAGTCAATTTGGAAAATGTTTACTATGCTCTGTTTTACCAATGAACCAGTGTCATCTGAAAAATAATTTTATTTCACAAGGACAAAATCTATATTAGTAGAATTTATTGTTATTATTATTGTGAAATTTTTTTTCTGATGACAGTGGCTCATCAGCAAAATGTGTCAAAGTAGTTTCCAAACAATATTATATACTAGCCGAATTACCCACACCTTACTGCATGTCACACATTTTTTTTGGTAAGAAAATGATGATGGATTGTAAATCATTATAATTTGTGGAGAAAAATGATGCATTTCAATATTACTCAATGATCTTGCTGGTGTGACCTCCATCTTCTGGTTTTCTCCTATATTTTGGATAGGAGTCATTCCCTTATTCAAATTTAAATTTACTTTATATCAAAAGGGGAAAAATATTTCAGTGTGTGTGTGTGTGTGGGGGGGGGCTTTGGTTAAAATGAAATATACTTATCCAAGTACCCTTGGTAATGTAGTTTCAGAATATATATGGTTATGAGGGTTATCTCCAAAACCTTAGGAGTAGTTTGATAAAAACAAACAGAAGCTTATGAAATTATGAAATAAAAAAAAATGGTAAGAAGATTCAACTATAATCAGAATGTTTAGATTTGTTCACCCAGGTGAATGGCAGTATTTTGGATGCTGATTTTAAAGGTGAGATGGCAGATCCTCTCTGCTAGGAAAACTGGTTATCGTAGTTGAATGATTTTTATTGTATTTAAATAATGTAAGTAAAATATTTATTAATAATAGTTTGGCAATATATTGATTTATTTGGACTAATTTCCACAGTTTTCTTTTCTTTTTATCACATTTCAGTTGCTGCACACTCTGGTCTTCTTCAGGTTTATTTGAAGTGGGTGGGTGGGGAATAAGAATGACAAGAAAATTATTCCAAATGAACCAATTTACAGCACTTTATCTTGAGTTAAAAAAAATTCCAACATAAAATAAACTTTTTATATGCTGGTGGTTTATTAAAATAGAAGGTTATTTATGTCCAGACTAATGGCCTCATCTTTGTTGTTATCATCACAACACTTGAGCAGTTGTGTCCTCCAGACTTCTTCAGGTGACTGCCAAACCAGGTAATCTTCAGGAAATTTCATACTGAAACCTTTATTTAATCTATGAAGATAGATTGTTCCCATTTTGTTCTCCATGTCTTCTATTGTTCTTATTTAATACTGATCAGTTATTGCAAATCCTTATTCTGCTGTGTACTATCTGTAGGAGGCATGGTGGAGTAATGGATAGTGGCTCAGATTGAGGAATTGGAGAGCCAAGTTCAAATTCTAGTTGAATCCATTACATTCACTTATGTGCTAATACCCTTGGGAAAGCTATAAATCCTCCTCTTCTCCCCCCAGCTATGGGTAAATAGACTAAGTCTTGGATGGCAACTGGTCTACTGCAGAAAGAAATGGCAACCTACTGCATGAAAAAATCTGCCTTGTCAGTCATGTATCAAAAGATACATGATTGTCTAAGCATGTATCATGCATGACACATAACATTAGAGGATTTAAGCATTGTTTGTGAATTTAAAAGCATAGCAATTGTGAGTTCAATTCCTGGGTTGGGTTGTACAGACTCAAACTCTGTGGAAACAAGGTGAGCAATAACTGAACAGTATTAAATAAGAACTAAATAAAATATCTCTAGACATGGACAGCGGAAAAAGAACAATCTAACAATATTGATTAAATAAATTTAATATGTTTTAAATTCTCTGAAGGTTATCCTGATTAACAGATATTTGAAAAAGGCTAGAGATCACAACGGCTAAAATGTTATGTTATTAATAACATCAGAGATGAGGACATTAGTACAATTTCTCCTCATCACAGAAATTCAAACAGAAATTAAAATAAATTCTTAAAACAAAAATACAGACTATTTTAATTATTTAAACCTTTCATCTTTATTTTAAGTGGCCATTTCTTTCTTATTCCCCAAATCGCTTTTTATAGTGTGCTTAAGTTCCTGTAAATCTGAGAATCATCTATTTGAAATGTGCTATTTTGTATCTGTGTACTTCCAGCTGGAAAACTCGGGTGGGCCTGGTTACCTCAGTACTACCCCTTCCATGGAGACTTCAATATTAATGCAAAATATTCAACGAATTGTGCAGGTAAGTAGACATATTTTCTTGATGCCTGTGCATGAAAAAGAGAATAAAAGTGAATAAGCATAGGTTGCTATTCTCAGCTTTATTCATTGTTTCAACTATATTCTTCAGTTTTCTTCAGGAGTATATTGCATCTGGTAGTCTCTAGAAGTCAATATCTATAACAATATAGTTTTACAAATTCAGAGAAACACTCAACACTGCAAAAATTCCAAACAAAAATTGTTGTTGCTGTATACTGTTGGCATCAATAGAATGTTGTTAATAAAATACGTCTTTGATTACAGGAGAATGAACATCTAAAGAAAGAATTGACTGAGTGTGGGATGAAGGTTGAAACCCAAAATAGCAAAATTGCTGAACTTCTGCAACAGAACCAAAAGTAAGTAATTATGCTCTGGAATTAGTTTTCATTGAATTTGACTTATGCAACAAGGTGAATAGTGGCCCACATATGGTGGGTAATTAGGTCCCCAATGAGCCATGACAGTATTTGACATAGTTAAATATAGAAAAAAACTGCTTTTATGGTATAAAACTGGAGGACATAAAAAGAATATTAGGAAGCCTTATGCAACATTTGAAACTATTTTTACAAATACATATATTTCAAATAATTCTGTATGCAATACTTCTCTAAAAAAACTGCCTGAGAAGAATTTTGTCAACGGAAGTTTTTCCCAACATAAGTTTCTGGTTACAGACTATCAAATGGAAGAGAAGAAGACCGGGATTTTGAAACCAAGTCTCTGATAGAATAGTTGAACTAACTGGAATATTTTTATCGTGATATATTGCCAATAAGGCTGATACCTATGAACTCCAGTCAACAACCACATGATGAGGAGACGCAAAAAGCAGGGGATCAGTTTAAAAATGGTGTTACACTTTGGAATTAGTTTTCTGAGAATATTTTTCTATGGATAAAATTACATTGTTCTTATTTATATGAACCAATCTTGGATAAAATAAGAATTTAAGTAAACTTTAAAAAAACATGGTAATTATGAGAAGAAAGTTTTTAGAAAATTTGCAAAATTTCTAGAAATTAAATTTCCATCTTCAATTGTTTACAACCATGTTATATTGAAACACTGGTTCTCATACGATCACCAATGATCATATGAGAACCAATGTTAAGCAACATTGAACCTGGTCAATACCAAGATGGGTCATTGCTTGGGAATACCAACTGCTGAAAACTTGAATGTGCAAGTGATGTAATGGATAACAGCTTGAAATTGGAGAGCTAAGTTTCAATTAATTGGGTTCATTATATTCCCTTATGCACAAATATCCTTGGGAAATGTATGTATTCACCCCCCCCAAGATATGGGTTAATTAGTAGAACTTGTATCAGTAGGCAGACTGGGGCAGTTTTTGATCCTATATGATGGAAGTTAAAACCTAACAACATTGTCCCTAAATGCAGAATTAATTTATTCTTCATGGTTTTGGTTCTGTTATGGTTCAATTTGAACTCATGAAAGAATTAAATCTGAAAGTTTTCCAGCTTTTTCCAAATGTGCAAGTTATATTCTTTGTTATTTCAGTTCCATATTCATTCAGTTTATGTATAACACATGAAAATCATGATTTGCAAAGATGTTCAGATTTGTTGAAAAAATTTGGAATTCAACGAGATTTTCATGAAATAAACATAAACAATTTGCTTAACTTTTTAAAAATTTTTTTCTTTCATCTTATTTTTCTTACTTCTCGATGTAATAAATTTGTCTGGGTTTCAAAGATGACACATTGTCCTTATTAATATTTAACTGTCATTTTTCATTATCTTTTTGTAGCTTTTTATCATAAGTCTTAAGTCCTGGTTATGACAATAAAGCAAATCTGGCAGCAAGGTCTCCTAATCAAGAGACAGGAGGTTTTGAGGAGTATAGAACCACCTCTTAATTGCTGTTGTTTTCAGGTTCATGCTAATCAAAAGTGCTAGTATCTGTTAGGGTCCCAGCTATGGGTAAATAGTGAACCCCCAAACAAAAATCAAAACACTAGGAAAGTATAAAAATACTAGCAATAGATTTTTATAAAAAAAAAATTATTACCAAGTGTACATTTTAATACTAAATAAATTAAATTTTTTAGTAAAATTACCAACAATACATTTTATCACCTACAATCTGTATACAATGTGGAGGAAAACATACATACAAATTTGTAATATTTTTGTATTTCCAGTTAATGAATAAACATATTTTTCATATAATTAACTGTACACAGATGCATAATAACTATGTATAAAAAACAGAAAAAAAATTGATTTAATAGAAATAAATCCCATTTATCAACTTTAATAAATGAAAAAGTATTTGTATAATGCAAATTTCAGATTTTAAAACTTTTAAATTGCTTTAATACTCTAGATTATCCAAGTGGAATATTCTACGGTATCTGTCTATATTTCTGAGATGAGATGTTATGTACACTATTTACATTATTCAGACTATTGTCCTCATCTTTGTTGCCATATTTATCACAACATTTCGGCCATTGTATGCTCTGGCCTTCTTCAGGTGGTTGGAATGTCAAACTGAACCCTTTATTTCACTTGCTAGGGTAGACTGTTCTAGTTCCACGTACCATGTTTAATAGATGTCAGTTATCAGTTATCTCCTGTTAATTCCCCTCTCCAAGTTCTCCACTGCCTTAACCCGGTATTGAACTCAAGGACACATTGCACAGTGGATAAAGGTGTTAGTTAGATCCAGTGACAGGACCCAAAGAGTGTGAGTTCAATACTTATTGGATCTTCTGACAAGATAATGATCCTAAGTATACTGCAAAATCTATGAAAAAAATGGCTTGCTGAAAATAATGTAAATATCCTGAAATGGCCAAGTCAGTCCCCAGATTTAAACCCAATTGAGAATCTGTGGCATTATTTGAAGATTCAAATCCAATCGCAAGCTTCAACAAACATCCCAGATCTGGAGACCATATGCAAAGAAGAATGGAACAAAATACCAACTAAAATTTGCAAATCATTAATTGAGAACTACAAGAGGTTGCTGTAGAAGTGAATAATGGCTTTTCTACAAATTATTAAATGAAGATTATGTATTCTTTTTTGTATTGTACATATACTTTTTTCACCCATTAAAATGGATAAATGGGATTTATTTCTATTAAATTACAATTTTTTTCTTTTTTTCTATACATATTTAGTTATTATGCATCTGTGTACAGTAAATTTTATGAAAAGTATGTTGATTCATTAGTTGGAAATATGATAAATTAAAAATTTGTATGTGTACGAATATTTGTTTTCCCCCCACTGTGTCTAAAAAATCATACATTTGTCTTGAAAGTATAAAATTAGGTACAAAATATCTGTATTTGAAGGCATAAAACTGTGTTCAAAATATATGTAGCTGATACCATAAAATTGTGTACAGAATAGATTTCAGCATTAAATGACCCACAGAGGTGTTGATATGCTGCTAAACAAAAACAATCAAACCAATCACAAGTCTCATCAATGAAGATAGTTAAAAACATTCATTGTAGATGTCTCAATCAAAAACAATGATGAGAATAAAATACAATTAATTTTTTAGGACTAACAATTTATCTCCATTTCAAGCATAAAGGTCTGATAAGATTGTTAAAATGTAAACAAGAATAAAAAGCCTTTCAAACAAGAGAGCAATATATTGAAGCAGTGATATGGATGACCTTTGGTTATTAAAAAGTATAAAATGCATCAAAATATTAATGTTTTGCATTCTCTTTCTGGCAGATATGTAGAACAAAGTCATTCTCTACTTGAACAACGAAATGATTCTTTCAGAAATTCAGCTGAATTGTCACAATCTAAAGTGCTGGCGCTAGAACAGGAAAAGGTAAATATTTAGTGATTTTCATCAGGAATTTAACCTGGCACTCACTGTTCTCTACACAATTCAGTTTCTATCCAATCTATCACAGGAGATAAGGCCTAAAAGCATTCAATATTTGATTTTTTTTTTTTTAAAAATGCAAAGTAAAGCAACCAATTTATTGGTCACAAAATTACTTGATTAATCTGTGTTGGTCTGTTTACATTTGTATCATCTACTACTGCCATCTTGATTTTCTACTAAGATTGACAAATACACAACTACCTCAGCCACTGTAGCAGGCCTTTTTATACTCTACCCCATGATTTCAATTTTGATATTTACTAAGCCTAATGATTGGAATAGTATCAAAAGTTTATACTACATTCATCTTTAATGGCCTGCTTGCATTGAAAATCCTAAACTCTAAAATTTTATTAAATTTTTTCTTTCCTCAATAGGAGTAGATAGGTTTGCCTAATATCCGATTCACACTCCTCCCCGGTCTTTTGAACAGGCATAGGGGTTTATCCCTTTTGTCCTGTTTAGGATTGGATTTCTGTTTCCTTCTGAAGTCTACACTTCTATTATCTCCACTAAACTCTGAAATTTTATTTACTATTTATTTTTTCCTTCAAAAGGAGTAGATATTTTCACCTATCCTCTGGTTCACACTCCTCCCCCAGCTTTTTGAACAAGGGTAGAGGTTTATCTCTTGTTTCATGTTCAAAATTAGGTTTCTGGTTACTTTTTTTTTTTTTCTTAATTATTTCACCCCAACCAAGACAGGAATGCCACTTGTATGCATGGAATTACAGAGAGTAAAAGAAAAGACTGTGTATAGGGAGGATTGAGGAAAGGATAAAAGACGAATGAGATTCAAGAAAACAGAAGATGATGATTGACATTTAAATAAAATTTTTGAAGTCTGAAGTTTTCAGGGTAGCAAGTAAATGAAAGGGAGTTCCACAGGCAGGAAGTGTAAGAAAAGAAACTGTTGGAATAGAAGTAGAAGTTACATTTAACAATTTTGACAGTAAGCACACTTAATTTTATTTAGTCTGGGCACTAGGGATAAAAGATTTTCAATGCAATTGTCATGAAAATATTTGTAGAAAAGACAGAGGGAAGCCATGTCATGTCTGTGAGAAAGTGACTGAAGTTGAGATCCCAAGTCAGGATCGATTTCATTGCAGATCCTTCTTTTAATTTTGTCAAGAACCTCAAGATGTATAGCAGGAGTACCAGACCAGATATGGCAACAGTATTCAATGCACAGACAAATGGTAGATTTATAAATATGGAAGATGGACTCTGACGAGAAAAACCTTCTGGAACAACTTCTAATATCTTCTCATTCTCTTCCACTCCCAGTAGTCCCTTGCATCTTAGTGGCATCATCTCCTTACTTGCAGTAAATTGATCTAAAAAAAAAAAAAAAAAACCATTTGCATTCCTGGCTTTTGATTGGATTTGAACTGTGATTGCTAGTGTAAGCATACTCCAAGGCTCTCCGTCTGTCTTTCAGTGACTGGAATCACTCGCAT